CGCCATGCGAACCCTGCCACGCCCTCGCAGACTTGCCTGAGTGCCTTCGGGGCGCCCACCGTCTCGGCCGAACCAAGCGGCAGTCTCGCCATCGCAACAATCACGGCGACTCAGCTCAGACCTGACTACACACAAAGCGCCAGCAGAGTGCGTCGGAAGCCGTCTGAGCTGGTACGTGGCGCGCAGCGCGCGCGGCCGCCAATCGACAGCGAATCCAAAAGAAACAAAAGGGAACGACCCCTGTCGTGTGCCGAGCCCGAAGTGGGCACGGCCCACGCCTCGGGGTCCCCTCCACCCTGGGTTACCGCGTTAGGTGGGCGCCGCGCTCGCTGGGCGAGAGCCAAGAGACGCGACTGGCGCCAGCGACCCCAAATCGGCCAGGAGGGAGTGAACACAAGCGCGTGCCGAGTTCCGCGGGGCACAGCCTACGCCACGGCTTCCCTCCACCCTCGAAGGCGACGCAGCCTGAAGCAGGTCGCCGCCGAGAGCCGCAGCGGAGCCCAGGAAGGGCACGAAGGGAAGAAACCTGGCGTGTGCCGACCCACAAAAATGGCATAACCTACGCCGCGGTGTCCATCCATGTCCATCCCCCCTCTAAAGACACGCAAGCTCAGGCCGGTCTGACCTGGAAACCATCAGTTGAAACGCCGCACTCGTCGGACAACAAGTCCCGAGCCGCGTCTGCGTAATCCTGAAAGACTGGGGTGCCTCGAATGGAAAGAGCGCGTTCTGTGGGCGCTTGGAGGGGGGGGGGGTAGAACCCTATCCCCCCCTGGAATGAAGGGGGTGGGGGTCGAACTTTCCTCCTCCCCTACTCCTCTCTCCCTCTCCTCGGGCCGGCGCCAGCGCGCGTCGCCAGCGGCTGGTTGCGGCGGCGGGGAGCGCCGATGAAGAGGGCGAGTTGCTTTTCTGGGAGGGCGCCAGCGCCTGCGGCGGCTGGCGGCGGCGGCGTGGAGCGTCGACGAAGACGGCGGCGACGACGACGACGCTCCACCTCCGTGCCTTGGTTTTCTCGGGGGCCACTGAAGTGCGTTTGTGAAGCCTCCTGGGCGCCTTTTGGGAGTCTCTTGGGGCCTCTCTGAGGTGGTCGTGGTGGTGGGCTGTGGTGGTGGTGGTGGTTGTGGCGGTGGTGGTGGTGTGGTGGTTGGTGGTAGTGCTGGTTGTGGTGGTGGTTTGTGGTGGCAGTTTGTGGTGGTGGTGACGGTGGTGGTCGTGTGGTGGTTTCTGGTGGTGGTGGTGGTGACGTGGTGATTGTGGCGGTGGTGGGGGTGGTGGTGGCGGAGGTGGTGTGCTGGTTTGTCCTGGTCGTTGTGGTGGTGGACGTGGTTGTGGTGGTGGTGGGTTGTGGTGGTGGTGGTGGTGGTGGTGGCGGTGGTGGTTGTGGTGGTGGCGTGGTGGTGTGTTGTGGTGGTGGTGGGTGGTGGGGTGGTGGTGGTGGTAGTGTGTTGTTTTGTGGTGGTGGTGGTGGTGGTTTGTGGCTGTGGTGGTGGTGGCGGTGGTGGTGGTGGGTTGTGGTGTGGTGGTTTGTGGTGGTCGTGGCGGTGGTGGTGGCGGTGGGTTGTGGAGGTGGTGCTGGTGTTGGTGGTGGTTGTGGTGGTGGTGGTTGGTGGTGGTGTGGTGGTTTGTGGTGGTGGTGGCGGTGATGGTGGTGGTGGTGGTGGTGGAAGATGTGGTGGTTTGTGGTGGTGGTGGTCGTGATGGTTGTGGTATGTTGAGGGTTGTGGTGGCTTGTGGCGGTGGTGGTGGTGACGTGGTGGATGAGGCGGTGGTGGAGGTGGTGGTGGTAGTGGTGTGGTGGTTTGCGGTGGTGGTGGTGGTGGTGGTTGTGTGGTGGTTTGTGGTGGGGGTGGTGTGGTGGTTTGTGGTGGTGGTGGTGGTAGTGGCGGTGGTGGTGGTGGAAGTGGCGGTGGTGGTGGTGTCGTGGTCGGTTGTGGTGGTGGTGGCGGTGGGTTGTTGAGGGTGCGGTGGTGGTGGGTTGTTGTTGTGGTGGTGGTGGTGGCTGTAGTGGTGGTGGTGGTGTGGTGGTTTGTGGTGGTGGTGGTGGGTTGTGGTGGCGGTGGTGGTAGTGGTGGTGCCGGTGGTTGTGGTGGTGGTGTGGGGGTTTGTGATGGTGGTGGGCTGTGGTGTTTGTGGTGGTGGTGGTGCTTGGTGGTGATGGTGGTGGTGGTGGTTGTGGTGGCGGTGTGGTGGTTTGTGGTGGCGGTAATGGTGGGTTGTGGCGGCGGTGGTGGTGGTGGCGGTGGTGGTGGTGTTGGTGGTGATGGTGGTGGGTTGGTGATGGTGGTGGTGGTGGTTGTGGTGGTGGTGGTGGTGTGGTGGTTTGTGGTGGTGGTGATGGTGGGTTGTGGTCGCGGTGGTTGTAGTGGGTGCGGCGGTGGTGTGGTGGTTTGTTGTTGTGGTGGTGGTCGTGGTGGTTGGTGGTGGTTGTTGGTGGTGGTTGGTGGTGTGGTTGTGGCGGTTGGTGGTGGTTGGTGGTGGTGTGGTGCTTGGTAGTGGCGGTGGTCGTTGTTGTGATGGTGGATATGGCAATTTGTGTTTCCCCTCTGCGGCCTCGGGACCCTCTCTGGTCATCGCCGCCGCGTTCCCGCCGTCGGCGCTGCTGGCCGTCGCCAGCGCGGGCGCCGGCGCCAGGGGAGGGGGGGGCTGTGGGCCCCCCCGCCCCTCCCCTTTGCTCTCTCTGGTCATCGCGGCTGCGTCTGCCGCAGGCGCCGGCGCCAGGGGGGAGGAGGGGGGGGGTTCAAACCCCCCTCCCTGGGAAGGGGGGTGGTGGTTTGGGGAGGGGGGTGGAGTTTGGGGGGAGGGGGGGGGCGCTCCTGGTTCTGATCGGCGGCGCCGAGCGTCGGGGGGCCCTTTCCCCCCCGGTTCGAAACGCGCCGCCGAATCTTCCCAAGGCAAGCGCCCGTGAAACGCGCTCTCCTCGAATGAGGCGCCGAAGAGGATGCTGGCGGCTGCGACGGCCATCCGCGAGGCTGCCGCCGCCTTCAGGAGTTCGCTCGCAGATGGGAAGCCGCCGTCGCTGCCATCGCCATCGTTGGAGACGTTGTGGCAGTAGTCCAGGCGCTTGTACGACACGGCATGGCGCAGTCGAGCTGAGACTCGCCCTCGTGCTCGGGCCGATCGTCGGAACCGAAACTGAAGCCCAGGTAATCTGGGGCCGAGGGGGCGGCGTCGCCGCCCATCCCGAGGCTGTCCGCGGCGCCGAGAGCCTGGCAATGCTCTCCAGGCGCCTCCTCGAGCTCATCGTCGGCGCGGGCGTGCTTTTCGGGCGCCTCTACGATCTCCGCGTCGGCTCGCGCCGTCACGTCGTCCCCGACCATCGTCTCGCCGCCGGTGGCGCTGGGCGCGTCGCCTCCCGATGCCGCCGCCCGCGACGTCGGCCTGCGCCGCCGCGTCCTCGTCGGACGAATGCTGGAGGGCGCCTCCGCCGCCGCAGGGCGTCAACCGGCGCGGCCCTTGGCCGCCGTCGGGCGCCGCGGCCGCCCCTGGGGGCGAGGGCGGCCGGCCAGGGCAGGGGCCTGCAGCGGTCCGCGAGCTGCCCGCTGCGGACGCGCGCGCGGAGACGCCGGCGCGGGCCAGCAGCGCGTGCCGCGCGGCACCCCGCCGCCGCACTGCGCCTCGGACGCGGCGCCCCGTGGCGGCTAGGCGCGAGGCGGGGCGCGCAGCGGCCTCCTGGTCCTGCCGGGAGCCTGGGCCGCCACTGGCCGCCTTGCCGACCGCCGACTCGGCCGTGAGGAGGCGCCGTGCCCGCGCCCGTCTGCGATCGAGCCGCCGAGGCGCCCACCTCGGCCTCCTCCTTCCTGCGCAGCGCGCTGCCCCGCCTGATGGGCCGCCCAGCCATCGCGCCGGCGGGCGGCCCCCCGTCGCCAGTCTCCCAGTCGCGCGCCGCCGACCAGTGCGCGCGGGCGCTTGCGAGAGATCTGGAGAAACAGCTTGAGCCAACATGGCTACGAATGATGGTGATGATGCTGGTGGTGATGATGATGGTGATGCCGATGATGATGGTGATGAAGTGACTCGCCAGAAGATGCGGTGTCTGGCACAAGTGGGGTGATACGATTAAACCAACGCACCGGTCTCATCGCTCATGATAGGCCCCCAATCAGTGCTTGCCTCCGTAGGGGCCCTAGCGGATTTATATGGTTCGGCGAAGTGTGGCGCCGATTTCGGGTTCGCGCCCGGGTGCCCGAGCGCCGCGGTGCCCGGGTGCGCCCGGGTGCCCGGGTGCCCGGGTGTCCCGGTGCCCGGGTGCCCGGGTGCCCGGGTGCCCGGGTGCCCGGGTGCCCGGGTGCCCAGGTGCCTGGGTGCCCGGTGGCCCTATAGTCCTACAGCCCTATAGCCTTGCCCTATAACCCTATAGCCCTATAGCCATGTGGCCCGATAGCCCTAATAGCCCTATAGTCCGATAGCCATATAGCCATATAGCCTCACAACCCTAGAGCCCTATAGCTCTACATGCCTATAGCTCTAGTCCTATAGCCATATAGACCTATGGTAATATAACCTTATAGCCACGTAGCCCTAAAAAGATGAGAATGAGGGTTTTCTCCGGTATCATCTCTGACAGGATTTGCTTTCTATGATCCGTCACGCTGTGAATAAGTGAATGCAAGAGAACAAGAGAAGAATGGAGGAGGGGCGACGACGACGCCGGCGACGGCCCACGCGCCATTACCTCTCGCGCCGAAAGGCCCGCGGCGCCCGCGATCGGCGCCATCCGCCCCAGATGCTTAAACAGTCGCGGAGGCGGCGGCGCAGGGCGAGCAGGGCAAGAATAATTACAACTCCCCCGGCGGCGGGATGTGTCGGCCCAGCGTTTGAACCCGCCCCCGGGAGATCCACGGGCCCCCCGCCCCCCCCAGAGACCTTTGACCCCCCCAACCGCCAGGCCCCAGGAATTTTACAGCGCCAAAGGAAGGGATGCCGATGCAGCCGTCAGACCCCCCCCCTATAGGGGGTAAATCGAAACGGACGGACATATCCCGCAAGTAAACCTCCTGGCTTCAAAAGTAAACGTCCAAGTTCACGCGCGGGCACTTTGCCCCGTCCTTCTTGATCACGCAGCGCTGCTCCGACTGAGTCCGCGCCGGCAGCAATTCTTCGACAAGCGCGATAGCGACCGTGGTAGTCCTGTTATTCCTCGGCAGACCAACGCTGCCATGTCCTCTCATTAACATTGCACGCGTAATTGTAACAAATTTCGTTGTCATCATGGTGGCGCCTGGTGTTCCATTGGCCTTGATGTTGGCCCTAATAATATTTGCTCTGAGTCGTGCGCCCGCTACATGTCTGGCGCTCCGCCCACTGTCCTTTCTGTCCTTGATGTGCCCAAGGCGTCCGATGCCATGGTTCAATATATGATGCTGAGGCTTGCCTGGACCCAGCATCGCGCCCCCCGCTCCGCCGGCATCGGCCGCAGACCTGGCGGGCTACAGCGCCGCGGAAGCAGCCCGGGCGCGCGAGCACGGAGGGGGGCGGCGATCAAAGGCCGCAGCTAGCGCATTGCCCGCCGGCGGCGCGGGAGTGATAGGAGGGGCCGCAGAAGCGCCGACTGAGTCGGCGCTGCAACGCGCTCTTCTTCGACCCCCATGGGTTTCCACGCATTCGGTGCGGGGGCGCTGCCGGCTAAGCCGGTGGCAGCCCCCTCCGAGAAAACAATGAAATTTGATGTGAGTGATTGTGCGGCTGGGGGCGCAAACTGCGGCTGCGTTTCTATTTCCAGATGCCCGTTCCCGCCCCGGCCCAGCGCCCCCCGTCGGGCGGGGCCATCTGTGGAATAGTTCTGCCGCCCTCCCTTTCGCCGACGATCCAAAATCAACGATCGACGATCGAGGACGGGCGATCGACGATCAAAGATCGACGGTCAAGGATCGACGATCGAGAGATTGGGTTCCAATCCAATCGATTGCAGTCCAATCGATTGATTACGATGCAATCGAATGCATTTCAATCAATTGCAATGCAATCGGTTACAGTCAATTCCAAGGCCCCCCCCCCCTCCCTCCGCGCCCTCCCCTCCCGCCCCTCCCCCCCGCCCTTCGTTCCCTCCCCTCCGGCTCCCCCCCTCCCCTCCTGCCGTCCTGCCCCTCCCCTGCAATCCAATCGATTGTAATCGAATCGATTGCGGCCCAACCGATTGCAACCCAATCGATTGCAACTCCAATCGATTGCAATCAAGTCGCTTGCAATTCACCGGATGGCAATCGATTGCAACGCAGCTGCACTATTCTAGCCGCCTCGCGGCATCGCCGGAGGCGGAAACGCGCTGCTGCGCTGCGCTCGCGCCGTGAGCAAGGTCAGGGACATCGAAACTATGAAGTTCTACTAGACTCGCCCCTTGGCAGCGCCTGCAGGCCCCTACAAAAAAACGCGACTCAACTCTGCTCCTCCTTTGGCGACCCCCTCCCCTCGCTGCCCTCCCCGCCCCCCCCCCCCCCCCCCTGCTTCCGATTCCTCTCCTCCCCCCCCTCTGCCCCCCTCTCCCCCCCCCCGCTCCCTCGCCCATCCCCCCCGCCCGTCCCACCCACCCCCTCTCCCTCGCCCCCCCCCGCCTCGCCGCCTCCACGCCCCCCCCTGCGCGCCCCCCCCCCCCTTCTCCACCCCCCGGCAAAAAATCACCCCCCGCGCCCTGCATGCTTGAGAACTACTGAGGACTCCAAGCCTGTGGCGGTAGAAACCTGAGACCCCAAGACCCAATGCGGACGCCCCTCGCGCCGCCTCTTCGGCGCCCCCCACTCCCCCCCCTCATGGAATTTCGACGTTGCGCCCGCGCGGCCAGGGCCCCTCGCCCGGGAAAAGTTCCCCGCGCGCGCGGCCCGAACGCCTGATCAGATGGCGCACCGCTTCGCCGCCCCGCGCCGCCTCCGCGATGCGCGCGTGCTCCGCGGGCCCGACTCGCCCGACGGTGGGGCCGCCCTCGCTCGTCCGCCGCCTCCGCCGCGCCGCCGGCGGGGTCGGCCGCCCCGAAGAGTCGCCGGGCGCCCGCGAGGCATGGCGGCGCGGGCCGAGGGGCCACGCGCAACGCGCTGCCAGGGTTGCGCAAGCAGGAGGAGGAGGAGGAGGAGGAGGAGGAGGAGGAGGAGGAGGAGGAGGAGGAGGAGGAGGAGGAGGAGGAGGAGGAGGAGAGGAGAGAGGAGGGAGGAGAGGAGGAGGAGGAGGAGGAGGAGGAGGAGGAGGAGGAGGAGGAGGAGGACGCCCAGAGTTCACATGGATACGGACGCAAGAGAGGCGGGGGGCGAACTCCCCCCATGGCCCCCCAGCAACGCGCGAAGCTGCGCAGCACGTCGCAACGTGCGTCGGCAACCTGCTGCGGGGAACTACCCGCTGGTCGCTTCGATCCCACGCCGCGTCGCCGCTGCGTCGGGTTGAGGCGCTGCGTAAGTACTGCGCACGACGCATCGCACTGACGTTCTCGACGCGTTGAGTTCTGTATGTAATGGGTCATGGGTGGGGGGGGGTACGTCCAGCGGGCTTCGAATAGAGGCTAGCGGCCCTAAGCACTAAACCCTAACCCTTCATCCTAACCACCAGCCCGCGCGCCCGCGCGCCCGCCCGCCGGCCGCCCGCGCATCCGCGCGTCCGCCCGCCCGCGCGCCCGCCGCCCGCCCGCCCGCCCGCCGCGCGGCGCCGCCCGCCCGCCCCGCCGCGCGCCCGCCCGCGCGCTAACTCTAACACCCTAACCCTAGCCCTCCAAAGCTTAAATCCGAATCCTAACTCCTAACCCTAAGACCTAACCCACTAGCCCAAACCCTAACCCCCTTACCCTAACCCTTGCCCTAACCCCTAAACCTAAGCCTTCAACCCTATATCCTAAACCTAAGCCCTGAACCCTAATCCAAAACCCAAGCCCTAACCCTAGCCGCTGCTCTGCCCCAGCCCTTACCCCAACCCTGACCCGAAACCGTAGGCCCCAACCAACCCTCTTCTTCTTCTTCTTCCTCCTCCTCCTCCTCCGCCTTCTCTTCCTCCTCCTCCTCCTCCTCGTCCTCCTCCTCCTCCTCCTCCTCCTCCTCCTCCTCCCCCTCCTCCTCCTCCTCTCCTCCTCCTCCTCCTCCTCCTCCTCCTCCTCCTCTTGCTTCTCCTCCTGTCCTCCTCTCCTCCTCGTCCTCCTCCTCGTCCTCCCCCTCCTCCTCCCTCCTCGTCCTCCTCCTCCTCCTTCTCCTCCTCCCCTCCCCTCCTCCTCCTATCCTTCTCCCTCCTTCGGCTCCTCCTCGTCTCCATCTTCCTCCCCCTCCTCCCCCTTCTCCCCTTCCTCCTCCTCCTCCTCCTCGTCCTCCTCGTCCTCCTCCTCCTGTTCCTCCATGTCAAGGGCCTCCCGGGACCTCTTAGAGCCTCTTGGGCATTCCTCCTTTTCCTCCTCCTCCTCCTCCTCGTCCTCGTCCTTCTTCTCCTCCTCCTCCTCCTCCTCTTCATCGTCCTGTTCTCCCTCTGCCTCCTCCTCATCTTCCTTTTTTTTCTCGTCCTGCATCCTCGTTCTCCTCCTCGTCCTCCTCCTCGTCTTCGTCCTCATCCTCGTCCTCCTCCTCGTCCTCCTCCTTTTCTTCCTCCTCGTGCGGAACACGACCTAGAGGAAACGCACGACGTGCATCCCAGCGGCCACGCGCCGGAGGACGACCCAGAAAAAGCGCGCGCCAGACGACCCGGAGAAAGCACGTGAGGTGCGGGCCCCATAGGGAGGGGGTTCCCGCCTGAGACTTGCTCGCGATTCAATCACAGACGAGGCTCCGCTTTATACTTCCTCCATATTCTGGCCTCGAGAGCCCGCGTGTGACGACAGTTACAGGAGGCCGATGGCCCGCTTTGGATTCGAACATGAAGTGCGGGCCCCATGGGGAAGGGGGCTCCCGCCTGAGACTTCCTCGCAAATCACTCGAAAACGAATCTCCCGCTTGATACTTCCTCCATATTCAGGCCTCAGGAGCCCGCAAGTGGCGACAGTTACAAGAGGCCGATGACCCGCCTCGGATCAAAAACAGAAGCTGCGGGCGTCATAAGTATAGAGCTCCCGCCAAAGACTTCCGCGCCCTCAGCAAACCAAAAGTGACAACAGTTACACGAGGCCGATGGCCCGCTCGTTTTGACTTCCTCGCAATTACTCACAGTCCCGCCTGATACTTCCTCCATATTCAAGCCTCAGGAGCCCCCAAGTGACGACAATTACAAGAGGCCGATGAACCGCTCGGATTAAAAGCACGACTTGCGGGCCTCATAAGGAGGGGGCTCCCACCTGAGACTTCCTCGCAATTCACTCACAGACGAGGCTCCGCCTGATACCTCCTCCATATTCAAGCCCCAGGAGCCCCAAACAACGACACTTACATGAAACCGATGACACATTTTTTTGCTGTTTTTTGTTGTCTATTAATGTATTTAGTTATAACGTACACATATATACACATAATCTGTGGGCCCCATAGGGTGGGGGGTCCCGCTTGGAACTTCTTCGCAATTCACTCACAAACGAGGCTCCCGCAATTCGCTCACAGACGAGGCTCCCGCCCGAGACGATCCAAACGCGAGAGCTGATCATGATGATGTGAATGATGATGATGATGATGATGATGATGATGATGATGATGATGATGATGATGATGATGATGATGATGATGATGATGATGATGATGATGATGGTGATGATTGAAATGATGATGAAGGCACTGAGTGAGTGTACGAAGGGGAAATAAGCTGAAGGTGTTATGATGATGACGGTGGGCGAGTGCTTGAGCGCGCGAAGTGAGGAACAGGAGAGGGGGTGAGGTGACAAGACTGCGCGGGGTGTCAAAAGAAAATGCATGAAAGTGGTCGAGTAAATGTGAAAGAGTGCGTAAATGATGCTGTGTTGATGATGCAATGATGATGTCAGTGTGTTAGTGTGTGAATGAAAGGAACAAAGGTGTTCCTTCCTTCCATCCTGTTCTTGCGCGGGGTGTCCAACACAAACAAGAGCCCCATTTTGGATTTTGGGAGGAAATGCGGTTTCCCATGCATGCGGCCCGAATCCCCTGCGAGACATGGCGGCGTGGACCAGGGGGCAGCGCTCTGCCAGGGTTGCGCGAGCAGCCCGCCCAGGGCCCAAGTGGATACGGCAACCTGCTGTGGGGAGCTACCCACCGGTCGCTTCGATCCCATGCCGCATCGCCGCTGCATCGGGTTGATGCGCTGCGTGAGTAGTGCGCGTGACGCATCGCACTGGCGTCCTCGACGCGTTGAGTTCTGTATGTAACGGGTCATGGGTGGGTGGGATACGTCCAACGGGCTTCAAATAGAGGCTAATGGCCCTAAGCCCTAAACGCTCTTAACCTTTTAACCCTAACACCTAACCCTACCCTAACCCTCACCCGAACCCTATTCGTACACCCTGGAGCCTAACCCTGACCCACACCCTGACCCCACCTTCCTCCCTGGGGCCTTGGGTGGAACTCCCTGTGGGGCCACGAAACGTGTGAGGGGTGTGCCGAAATGGGTGTGGCGGACGCATGTGGACGGTGCCACTGGGGCCTTGGGTGGAGCTCTCTGTGGGGCCACAAAACTCATGAGGGGTGTGCCAACATGGGTGCGGCGGACGCATGTGGACGGTGCCACTGGGGCCTTGGGTGGAGCTCCCTATGGAGCCACGGAGCGTGTGAGGTGGGCTCCCCATTGGGCCACGCAGAGTGTGAGGGGTGTGCAGAAATAAATGTGGCGGACGAATGTGGACGGTGCCGCTGGGGCCTTTGGTGGAATTCCAATGGGGCCACGAAACGTGTGAGGGGTGTGCCGGGACTGGTGTGGCAGACGCATGTGGACGGTACCATCGGGGCCTTCAGTGGATCTCTTTGTGGGGCCACGAAACGTGTGAGGGGTGTGCCGAAGTATGTGTCTTGCGGACGCATGTGGACGGTGCCACTGGGGCCTTGGGTGGAGCTCCCTATGGGGCCACGAAACGTCTCAGGGGTGTGCCGGACTTGGTGTGGCGGACGCATGGGGACGGTGCCATTGGGGCCTTGGGTGGAGCTCCCCATGGGGCCACGAAACGTGTGAGAGGTGTCCTGACATGGGTGTGGTGGACGCATGTGGACGGTGCCGCTGGGGCCTTCGGTGGATCTCTTTATGGGTTCGCGAAACGTGTGAGGGGTGTGCCGACATGGGTGTCGCGGATGCATGTGGACGGTGCCACTGGGGCCTTGGGAGGAGCTCCCTATGGGGCCACGAAACGTGTGAGGGGTGTGCCGAAATGCGTGTGGCGGACGCATGTGGACGGTGCCACTGGGGCCTTGGGTGGAGCTCCCTATGGGGCCACGAAGCGCGTGAAGGGCCGAATGGATGTGGCGGACGCATGTGGACGGTGCCACTAGGGCCTTCGGTGGAGCTCCCTATGGATCCACAAAACGTGGGAGGGGAGCTCCCTATGGGGCCACGAAGCGCCGGAGGGGTGTGCCGAAATAAATGTGGCGGACGCATGTGGACGGTGCCACTGGGGCCTTGGGTGGAGCTCCCTATGGGGTCACGAAACGTGTGAGGTGTGTGTGTGTGCCGAAATAAGTGTGGCGGACGCATGTGGACGGTGCCACTGGGGCCTTGGGTGGAGCTCCCTATGGAGTGACAAAACGTGGGAGGGGAGCTCCCCATGGGGCCACGAAGCGCGTGAGGGGTGTGCCGAAATAAATGTGGCGGACGCATGTGGACGGTGCCACTGGGGCCTTGGGTTGAGCTCCCAATGGGGCCACGAAACGTGTCAGGGGTGTGCCGGAATTGGGGTGGCAGACGCATGTGGACGGTGCCACTGGGGCCTTGGGTGGAGCTCCCTATGGGGCCCCGAAGCGTGTCAGGGGTGTGCCGGAATTGGTGTGGCAGACGCATTTGGACGGTGCCACTGGGGCCTTCGGAGGAGCTCCCTATGGGGCCACGAAGCGCCGGAGGGGTGTGCCGAAATAAATGTGGCGGGCGCATGTGGACGGTACCACTGGGGCTTTCGGTGGAGTTCCTTACGAAACGAGTGAGGGGTGTGCCGAAATAAATGTGGCGGGCGCATGTGGACGGTGCCACTGGGGCCTTGGGTGGAACTCCCTATGGAACCACGAAACATTTGAGGGGTGTGTCGTGGGGCCTTCTGTGGACCTCCCTATGGGACCACGAAACGCGAGAGGGGTGTGCCGAAGTTGGTGGACATGCGGAAAGCAGAAGCAGGGATTGGAGGAGGGAGGATGGGGAGGAGGAGAGGGGAAAGGAGAAGAGAGGAACGTGGGGTACTGTCTCTTCAAAACGAGGACCCAACACCACAGGATCGTTGGGAAAAACACCAGATCAGTACTGCCAGGGCCACCTCTGCAAAAGACGCCAGGTCTCTACTCCTGGAAACACGATCCTTTGTAACATGCGCTGCGTCTGCGCTCCCGCCGCTGCCCCCCTGGCGGGAGCCACTGGGCTGCAAGGCGTGCGCTTGAGCAACTGAGGCGATTAGTTCTCACCAGCGCAGTGGGGCAAGTCGTAACATTGCATGTAAGCCAGCGTGGATCCCAAGCAGTCTGCTGTTGCACTGTGGACGTGGTGAGCTATGTGAGGCAATCTAAGTGGCGCAAGCTGTGTGATGCAATCTGCGTGGTGCAAGCTACGTTGTGAAACTCCGACGGGCCCCCAAGCGCAGCGGGCGGCAACGGGGCAGCAACGGGCGGCGACGCGGCGATTCCTCGACGGACCCCACTAGTGGGCGGCAGCAAGGCGGCAACGAGGCGGCGACGCGGCGAAACCTCGGACCCCCCAGCTGGGCGGGCTCCTGCTTTGAGGGTCTTGCCCACGACCCATGGGGGGAGCGGGGCCGCCCCGTCGGCCGCACACGGACACGCGCTGCGATTCAGTGCCTCTCTGTCTTCTTGGCTCTCTAAGCCGCAGCGCTTAGAGCTTCGCAGCTCTTGGACGCGTCGGCCATGGCCGTGCTCTCCGCTGTCGGTGGCCCTGTCGAAGGTGCTGAAGCGCGCCCCCTGGCTCAACAAGGTAGTCCCGAAGTGTCTGGCTGCTGCTCCAGGGGGGGGCACCGTAATCGGGGGCCGTAATCGGGGAGGCCGCAGCACCGCTCAACGATGTGCTGCGTACCGAACCATGCAAATTCGGCCCTTTCCCGGATGCGCGCTTTGGTGCGGCTCGTATGTGCGCCTCGTCTCCGTCATCGTCGTCGTCGGCGGCGTCGTGATCGTGACGGTGGTGTGTGCAGCTCGGCTCGAGACTTTTTTCCTCGATTCAATGACCACCACCAGCATCCACCTCTGTCCCGCCGCCAGTCTCCTCCTCCTTCTCAAATCCCCCCCTGTTATCGCTGTAAGTACGCCGTCTGTGACAGGGGCCCGGCGAAGTCAGAGGGTGCGGCGTCAGGCGCGTCAGGCCAGGAACCTAGGCACGTGGGCCCAGTCTTGCATCGGCCATGGCCTGCAGGATCTCCTTCTCGATCTCTGCTGCCTCGTCCTGAGCAGCGGGCTTGCCTACGATCTTCTTCCTCTCATTGAACCTTTGCGCCAAATTGGCATGAACTTTGTCACCTGTAATCGAGACTTCAGGCCAGGCCTGAGCATCGGCCATAGCCTGCAACATCTCTGCCTCGATCTCCGCTGCTATCTCATCCTGAATCGCGGTCGTGCCCTCGATCTTCTTCAGCTCCTTGCCCCCCTGCGCCAACCTAGCATGGACTCCATCCTCTCCCTTGTTGATCACCTCAGCATTGGCAGTGATTGGGACCTCAAGCTGGGCCTTGGCATCGGCCATCGCCTCCAGCATCTCTGCCTCGATCGCCACCGCTGTCTCATCCTGAGCAGCCGGCTTGCTGTCGGTCATGAACACCTGTTCTGGGAAACGCTCCTCCTGGTTGTTCTGAGATGATGCTCCGGGGCGGTTCCCCAGGAGGTGGTCCTCCTTGGCGTGAAATTTTACAAGGGCAGAGCCTAGCTGCAGCGCCGCTGCCGCGGTCAAGACACGCATCATGATGATACTAACGAAAAGTTCCAATAAAGGGAGTGTGTCAGTTCGATGGGCAGGGAAATTCCGCTAGCCCACTTGTGGGGCTGACAGAGTGCGAAGCTCAGGTCGAAGAGCGCCTGTCTACGTGCCTGCTTCTTGAATGTTGAGCACCAAGGTGCTGTGATGTGTTCGTGTGTTGTGCTTGTAGGTGCCCATGGAGATTCACAGCATACTTCTTACTGCACAAGTTAAGGCTCTTGAATCCAGCATGAAAATACTTAAGACTGGAGCAGTTGTTGGTAGCACTACCACCTTGGGCCCACAGTGCCACTTCCATTGTGGACGGTCTGTCGCGGCACAAATCCTTCTGTACTGGCTTCCGCACTGAGGGCTCTCACCGAGGCGTAATGCGGCCTCGAGATTGCCCCAATCTGGCCCTGAGACAGCCCCAGGATGTTCGAAGAGGTCCCCCCTAAAGGCCCAAGATGGTCCAAGACAGCCCCAAGCGAACCCATAGGCTACTACAGCTTGACGGTCACTAGGCTGCGAATCCACCAGCCACGCCAGACGAGACGTGAACACACACGCCCAGGACACGGCTACACAATCCAATGCTCCCACGGTGCCGACACGACAGCCGCGAAACCACGAGTCCATCCGTGCTTGGTCGGCGGTGGAGAGCGAATCCCTCCAGATTCGTACAGAACTTTATTTTCAGCCGCCCCTGGAACCAAGCAGACTTGGTATCAGAGCTGCAATCGCTTGAGCCCTGGTGCAACGAAGCCACTGCGCCGCCTCAGCCCCTCACGAATTCTCCTCGTCCTTCTCTGTCCCCTCGCCCTCCTCATCCTCTTTTCCCACAATGTGGCTCGCTCTGCCTCGGAAAGGGGGGGCGCGGCGAAGCAGGAGCAGGGTGGTGGGGGAGCGAGGATGGCGAAAGCCAGACAAACACCAGACGACAAGGAGGTGGCACTTGGCAAAGTGCCTCTTCCAAGCAACACGCCCAGCGCCAATGCCAACGCCCTTCGTGGACGCTGCCTGCCCTTTTGGGGCCTCTGGAGGCCTCTGGGGGACCTTCGGGAGGCAAATGATGGGACGGTCCTGATGGACGGAAAGGCCAAGTTCCGTGCTGTTTGCGCCCCAGCCATTACTCGCACGCCTCGTGGTTCCGTCAGGCTCTCTATCGCTAGCGCGCTAAGTTTCAGGAGGTGATAGGTCTGGGGTGCAGAAATGGGCGCGCATGGAGGTGAAAGGCGGCGGAAGGTTGGTGCCAGGTGGTTGGTGCAAGGATCTCCAACTTCAACAAGCGAACGGTAACGTTGGACCCACTTTCCCCCGTTCCATCCCCAACACATCAATTCCAGCTTTTACCACGACGACGACGACGATTTGGACTACCCCTACATGCACTATAGCAGCTGCGTTGCCCTTAACACCAAGAAATCCGTAGTCCTGGATCTGATCGCACGTGCTCAGAATTCAGAAAGCTTGACTCGATGTTCTTCCGCCAGCTGTCCACGTTTGCTGGTTTCCCGGTTCGCACCTGACCAAGTGTTCCAGATCAGGGCGCACGAGTGCAATCTGGTCATGGGTGAGAGCAACATGGGATATTGTGGCGAAGGCGGCCCGAAGAACAGGAGGGATATTGACCGAATCTGTTTTTGAAAGAAAGCTTCTCCCCGTCGCACCTGTTTCCTCCTCCTCCTCCTCCTCCTCCTCCTCCTCTTTCCTCCTTTTCCTCCTGTTTCCCTCTCCTCCTTCTCCTCTGCGGAGGCTGGGCACCACGAAATTTGACCCCGAAGTGCGGCTGTTCCGTTGGCCTTCTCCAAGTCGCCCTGCAGGACCCGTCCGCAGCAACCGCTCTGGATGTCCCTGATCGCGGCAGCCTTACCGTCTGGTGGGCACATGCGAAAGCAGCCACTGGGGCCGTCGGTGGAATTCCCTATGGGGTCACGAAACTCGTGAGAGGTATGCCGAAATAGGTGTGGTGGGCGGTGGGCGCATGCGAACGCACGTCGGTGGAGCTCCCTATTGGGCCACGAAGCGCGTGAGGGGTGTGCCGAAATAAGTGTGGCGGACGCATGTGGACGGTGCCACTGGGGCCTTGGGTGGAGCTCCCTTTGGGGCCACGAAACGTGTCAGGGGTGTGCCAGAACTGGGGTGGCAGACGCACGTGGACGGTGCCATTGGGGCCTTGGGAGGAGCTCCCTATCGAGCCCCGAAAAGTGTCAGGGGTGTGCCGACATGGGTGTGGGTGACGCATGCGGGCGGTGGCACTGGGGCCTTCGGTGGAGCTTCCTCCTACGAGGCCACGAACCATGTGAGGGGTGTGCCGAAATGGGTGTGAGTGACGCATGCGGGCGGTGGCAATGGGGCCTTCGGTGGAGCTCCCTATGGGGCCACGAATCGCGTGAGGGGTGTGCCGAAATGTGCGGGTGACGCATGCGGGCGGTGGCACTGGGGCCTTCGGTGGAGCTCCCTGCGGGGCCACGAAACGTGCGAAGGGTGTGCCGAAACATGTAAGGGGTGTGCCGACATGGGTGTGGGTGACGCATGCGGGCGGTGGCACTGGGGCCTTCGGTGGAGCTCTCTGTGTGGCCACGAAACGTGTGAGGGGTATGCTGGCATGGGTGTGGGTGACGCATGCGGGCGGTGCAGGGAGGAGGGAGGAGGAGTGAGTGACGCGCGGCGCTGTCTCTTCAAAACGAACCCCCAACACCACAGGATGGATGGGTGAAAAACGGATATCTCAAGAAATCCATGCGAACAAATTGCAAAGCGAAAGGGAAAGCAAGGTTTTGGCCAGCTGGTTCCACGAAACCTGTGAAAACACGTGGTTTCGTGACGCTGAGGTGCCAAAGCCTTGTGTCTCCAAAGGTTTAGCGGCAAGCAACTGGCAAAAACATGGGTTGTTCTGAGTTGTTACCGCTTTTCCGTACGGTTTTCCAGGATGCCATTTTTTGTTATGTCGTTGCATTTTCTGCCTTTTTCGCATTTTCGCCTGTTCGCGCCCTGGCGCTGCGCGGGTGGATCTAGCGAACACTCGATACATTTTGAGCGTAGACACTAACGCGTGCCACAAGGTGTCAAATCTATCTAATTGCACGTCGGAGTGCTTCAACGCGGTCCTTGCTGCCATGATCCACCCGCTCACGAAGGGGGCCACAGACAGACTCACGTCGTTCCTCAGATCCAGATCTGGCGACAGAGCTCATGAGATGCCAACGAGGAGAGGTGTTTACCACACACTGTGCGAGAAGACCATAGCGCACACCAACATTCGGAGCGTGATGCTGCGGCGCCGGAACAGCTGCGATGTCCGAGCGCTCGAGGTAGATGGATTCTACAAGTCTCCAATGGAAGTGCTATATGAAGTCCCGCTCGGACAGAAGCAGCAGGGCTCGGCGGCCGGTGGCCCTGCGCCACTCCGTGTTTTGCTGACGGCTCCACGCAAAACAACGCCCTCAGTATCGAGGGGGGCGCCTTCCGAACATGCACGTGATATTGTGCGCGCCCTCCCGAACGCGCTGCCAAGCAGCCGAGAGATGTGGAGATGGTGTGTTCTGGTATGCCGGCCGAGCTGGACAGCTTTTCCCAAGCTGCGCGAGGTCTTCCCACATCTTAAATGCGTTTGTAAGGATTTGATGCACTTCGCATTGGAGCTGGAGAAGGCGTCGAATGGAAAACAAACCGCGTTTCGCGCGCTGCGAGGCGCTGCTTAGCTAAACTATGCGTGGGTGGTTTCGGACGCCATTTGCTTGGCCCACAACGGCATGCTCACGAGGAAAACGGGGGACGGCAAGGCGACTGTGATGAGCAGTCTCCAACACGCGACGAGCGCCGCAACGGTCTGGATTAGACTCTGAATGTTTGACAACACGTTGCGAACAATCTTTCCGACGATGTCATATGGCACGACCCGCAACGAGGCGTCCCATAGGCAGCTGAAAGCTTTCTGTAGGAACGCGTTCAAGACTCGTCGGCGCGCGGTCTGGGTTGCCAACATTGCGACGATGTACAAGGTCTTCGCTCCGTTTACGTCCCAGTTGGCGCAGGCTATGACGCAGAGCCTCGACGAACACGAGGTCATCAGCGAATTCGGTGAATACTTGGTAGACAAGGCGCCCTTCAAGTTCTCGCCTCGCATGCGCCACTCTGCCCAGGCCAACGCCCAGGCCAATGAGAGAGTGGACCTTTCGGAGCTCACGCCCAATGTGGGGCGCATTCACAAGCGGCCAGCCAGTGCCGCGGCGTAGTGGTTTCACATGTGTTTCGAACTTGCGCAACTAGTCCATCCATTCGGGATCCACTAGGACACGAGTTAAAAGTAGAGCAGAAAAGAGAAAGAGAAAGAGAGGGAGAGAGATAGAGACATATAAGAAGAGATATAGAGAGATAACGAGAGAGAGAGAGAGAGAGAGAGCCCGCCAAATAGTTCCACATGTCCCCCTTCCCGCCGTGATTCCTCCAAGGGTTTCCACAATGTCTGGGGGAACGCAAAGTCCAACAGCTCGGCAAGACTTCGTCCCAACGTCTGGCCACATAGGCGTTTCCAAAAAGGCAGAGGGCGGCGGTCTTTCGCCGTAGGCGTCTTCGATAACTCACACTTGCTTGATGGCAACATCGCGGCACCTCCGCTCCAACATCAGGCCACCATCAAAACACCTACCCAATCAAATCGACGGGACACCATCGGGGCACCACTGACAGGTCGCCGGCAAAATAGGCACAGCGTTCACAAGCTATCGACACACCGTCGGGCCCCCATCAAGAGCACGCGCGCGCGAAAATAAAGGCTCGACGCCAGTGGCGAGCTCGGAGAGGCGAAGGCGGGGATCGCGGGGTTTCCTGGCCCCTCGGGACCGACGCTGGCGCGTTCCCCCGAAACGACGGCCCTAGCGCCCCGAAGCTGCCAGAGATCGGCTGACATCTGCACCAGCGCCCACACCAGCAGGGCAGGGCACACGAGCAGCCCACGACTGGCACACCACGAGCGAGCAGCCGGGCCACCTCCGGACCAGGAGATCCCGCGAGGCCGATCTCGGCGGACCTGGACCTGGCGAGCGGCAGGATGGCGACGCCGTCGGGCGGCGCCGCTCGCCTCGCTCCGGAGGCGAACGGCGCAGCGCTGGCCAGGCGAAGCGCGCGCACCTCTGAGCCGCTGCAGTCACGGGCGCGGTGCCTCCCCGGCTGCCTCTCCAGCGGGGTTCGAGCAGACTGGGGTCGGAGGATCGCGCCGCAGCGCCGCTGCAGTGCCGATGCCGCGCGATCCTCTGAGCCCACCTGGGACGCCTGGGCCCAACTGGCTGCCTCTCGAGCCGCCATGCCCCTCCCCGCCCTGCTGCGCGGGCCTGCGGCCGCCGCCTGGAGCTGATCGCGCGGTGGCTGGAGCGCGCGCCGCCGCTCCGCTCCGCGGGGCCTCCGAGCGTGAAGGGGGGGGGGGCGGTCCCCTGCTTCGCTCGCCCTCCCGCTCACTACTCGTTTTCTGTCGGAGCGCGTCCCCTGGGAGGCACGGGCCCCTGGGAGGCACGGGCGGACGCGGGCGGGTCGCTGCCCGCCGTTGTTCCGAGCCCAGGCTGCAGGCGGAGGGGGGGAGGAGCTGACTGTGGATCCCGGGAAGCAAGAGGGGGCGCTGCGCTGGGGGATGGGGGGGGGGGCAGGGAGCGGGGCGGAGTGGGGGAGGGAGGCGGGGGGCGGAGCGGGTGCCGTGGGGATGCAGGGTGAGCGGGAGCGGAGAGGGGCGAGCGAGCGGGGAGGGCAGCGGCCGGGGCGGAGGGCGGCAGCGCGGGAGGCGGAGGAGGAGGAGGAGGAGGAGGAGGAGGAGGAGGAGGAGGAGGAGGAGGAGGAGGAGGGACGCCAGACCCGATGCAGGCCTGGGCGGTTTGCGCGTTTTCAATAGGCATCCTTTTGTGGAGGCCGAACGAAACTGAAAACGGATCAGACCCCCCCAAAAAAAAACCCAAGCAGCAAAACAGCAACAAAAACAAGCAAAACCACTCTAATATAATCTGACGGTCGACCAGGGAATTCTATCTGACAATTTTTTGTATGGGTGTTATTCCTTAGGTGTTTGGCTGTTCTTCGGCTCCCAACCTTTGATTTCTTTGTTTGTTTTGGTCTTTCATTGTGTTTTCTTGGTTTTTCCTCCGTTCCCAGTGTGGGGGGAGTGGCGTCGGGGAACGTTGACAAAGCACATATGGAAACCGTACTCCCCCCCCCACAACCCGAACTTTGGGTATTCAGATAAGGTCTGGCAGGTAGTCCGCGAGGAGGTGGATACAGTCATCCTGCTGTCATACATCGGCGCTACGAAAGCTTTGGCCCGCTTCGTGCTTCCACCAAGACGTCTTAGGCGGGAGCGCCATTGCGAATTCGAGCTGAGGAAGTGCCGACCCCTATTCTCGACGACGCCACTGACAACGTTGCACCGGGGCACTGTCGCAGAACGGGAGGCGTTGCATGTTGGCCGAACTTTCAGTGAACCCCGACTCGGTTCCCCGACGCAGATCTGAGGAACGGCCTACAGAAACCAGAGCCCTTCCTGAACCCAGAGCGGTTCTTTCTTCAGCGTCCCGATTGCAGAGGACCTGGGCTTGTGGAGGTCGTCGGCCGCATCCAGGCCTCCTGGGGGCGCCCAGAGATCTCCAGGGGGGCCCCCGGGGAGCTCGGGAGACCTCCAGGGAGAACACCACGAACGGAATTCTCGACCCAGCTGTTTGCGTGGCATCTCTTCGGGCCTGGCCGATCTCCGTGAGGATCCCCAGCCCGAGGCGGGGCCCAAAGGCCCGTCCTGTTTTCCCCCTGCTCAGATCCGAGCGACCATTGGCGACGGCTCGCGGAAGGGGACGAGGGTGGGACCCTCTAAGAACGCACCTTGCCTCTCAGAGTCCTCCTTGTGCTCTGCGAAGACTCCCTGGAATCGTCCGAGAAGGGGCCGATCGCCTCTGAGAGGCACCACCGCCGCCTCCTTCGAAGAGGCCCCCCCCCGCCGTCTCAGAAGGCGGACCCTGCTGCCCCCCCCCCCCCCCGCACGCCCGCCCGCGCGCGCCGCCAACACTCGTCCGCCCAAGGCCACGCAGATGAAGCAGAGGCTCAAAAAGAGTCCTCGGCCGCCCACGGACCTTGACATCCATGCGGCTCTGCCCTCCTCCTCCTCCTCCTCCTCCTCCTCCTCCTCCTCCTCCTCCTCCTCCTCCAGGAGGATGGGCGGCAGCCGGTGCGGCACCCGAGGGGGGGGGGATGGGGGGGGGGCGGGCGGGCGGCCGCAGGGGAGGGCAGAGGGCAGGGCTCTCGGATCGGATCGGGGCTCGTGGGCTTGGGGGCGTTCGGCGGGGGGGGGGGGGGGGGGAGAATAGGGAGGGGGAGGAGGAGGATCGAGGAGGAACGAGGAGGAGGAGGAGGAGGAGGAAGAGGAGGAGAAGGAACGAGGAGGAGGAGGAGGAGGATGCATGGCCAGATGTTTTCTCCGTAGCCAGGGACACGATCTGTGTTGGGATGTGCTTGCCCCCGAGACTGCAGGGAAGGGGACAACGTACAGACCAGGAAACAGCACTGTATAAAATCCGCCTGCCAATGCCTCGGCCAGCTTTACAGAAGGGAGGGAGGGTTGGGTGGAAGCTTGAGCCCCGCGGTTGCGGCAGGGCGGCGCACTCTGCAACTCTCTTCCAAGCAAACCCTTACTGAAGTAGTCGAATGCATGGCCAGATGTTTTCTCCGTCGCCAGGGACACGATCTGTGTTGGGATGTGCTTGCCCCCGAGACTGCAGGGAAGGGGACAACGTACAGACCAGGAAACAGTACTGTATAAAATCCGAACCAGTGTAAAGCCCAGGAACAGTAAAACCTCCGCGAACACCGTTCTGGACTCAAACATGAGGCCGAAGTTTATTAGCACGTTGTTGCACTAGAGCAGCACGGAATATTCTCGCAATGGCTCGGCATACAGAGAAGGGGTAAACCTCCGCCTGATTTGATACGATCTTGGAGCCTTTCATCTCCAGGGTAAAATGCGGGGAGCCAGTGAACGTACATACACCTTTGCCTCTACATCGAATATCCAGTGGTCGAAGATCAACGTGACACCCAAGAAGTCGGGTATATTTTCTCCAGATGGTGCCGAAAGCGCACATGTCGAAAACCACCTCTGAAACACCAGGAAGCTGCCGAACCTTGAGGACCTGGGGTTGTCTCCAAAGATGAGAGCTCGCAGGGTTCTCGACGATCACTGGGCACCCGAGCAAACGGCACTCACGGAAGATACTGAAACTCGCGGCACACAGGGAGTTTCCGAGGTCGACTTCTTTGCGGCAGCTGTCTGAGAGCTTGGGGAGGCCCTCGGGGTACTCGGACGTCCTGAGGGTCGGGGGACCGTTAGGGCGGTTCCGTGCAAGAGAGAAGGAATTACACGGCGTACCCATGAACACGGCCGTCACGAGCCCACCTCGGACCCAGCCCCGAATAAGCTTGACCAGGGCCTTACTGCACATGTCATGCTCAACCCCGTGCCGTATGTCGATCTCGAAAACAGGGTGGCCAGCCGACCTCATGGATCGGCGCCAAACCTCAGACAGGTGCCCGGAGCCAGCGAAGATCTCGAGGGCCGCGGGGACGCCCCGCTGCTTCACAAAGAGCGGAAGGCATTCACGAGGGTTACGCCAATGTTCGAGGCCGCCAGGTCGGCGGCGATGAGGATGTCCTGGGACAAGAGGCTCAGCTGCTCGTTGATGCGCCCGCCCCGCTCGTAGCGGGCCAGGCTGCGGTCGCTGGCCCAGCGGCCGCGCTTCTTGGCGCTCAGGAGAGTGCGAGCCTTGAAGAGGAGGTCGTGCGACACCCCTCCGTGGCGGAGGCGGTGCAGACACGGGTCGCCCAGGGCAGTGAGCCCGCAAGCGGACGCCGCGCCCTTCAAGGCCCGGCCCCACTGCGCCTGGCCGAAGTTGAAGACCAGCGAGTGGGGGAACTTGGCCTTCGGGAGGCCCAGCACCTGCGGCAACCACGGGAACAGGGGGTTGTCCGCTAGCAGGCTCTCGTCCACGCGGCCCGTCTTGGACGTGGCGCCGCCCTCTTGCGGGTGCAGGAGGAGGGGCCGCATCTGGCCCTGGCCGTCCTGCACACGGCGAGGCGCCTGGGCAGGAGCTGTGATCAGCTTCCCCTGCAGACGCAGGCACTCGCTGGGGCGCAGGTAGAACGTGAAGGTGATGATGCTGGCCAATGCCTCCATCACCTGGCCCGCCCGCGGCAATCATGTGTTGCGCGCGCAGGCACAGGGCGACCCAGGGGTACGGCAGGCGGCTCTGGGCGGGCACCATGCGCTTCCAGCCCGTCAAGGCGCGAAAGCTGCGGGGCAGCTCGAGGGGCGCACCGTTGGGGTATGTCCAGAAGTAGCGGAGACCCGCGATCAGCTTCGTCGGCACGTAGGAGAGCTCGCCTGCGAAGAACTTCTCGTGCATGTACGTCACGAGGGCTAGGTCGATCGCCGGCGCCGACCTCAGCGAGGTCGCGATGTCGCTGAGCAGGTGGCGCTCCTGGCCCCACTGGTAGAACGCCGTCGCGTACGTCTGGTAGTCCTGGGCGGCCTTCGGCGAGACGCTCTGCAGCTCGAGGAAGGTCGGGGCGCCTGGCGGCGGTGGGGCCTCTGCGGCAGCGGGGATGGCCCTCGCCCGCTTGGCGGCCCTCGCCTCCTGAGCGCCGGGGCCGTGGGGCACCCGCTCGCGGCATGGGCGCCGCGAGGAGGGCGCCGGGAGGTTGGGCGCCACCTCCGCACGGGGCAGGCCCCCGGCGTGGGCGCCCAGGGGGCACGGCACCAGCTGCGGGCCCGCCGTCACGGCTGTCGCCGAGGAAGCCATCTCGGAGGACCTCGAGCCCCGCGGGCCCGAGTGCTGCAACTGGATTCGGCGCAGCATTGAATCGGAAAGCTCCTGCCCGACCTCGAGAAGCGGCATCGGCTGCGTTGGATTCTGATGGGGCCCATCTCCAGGCGATATACGAGTTAGAGGCCAGCAACATGGCAGCCGTCTGACGGCAGCACTGTATGACCCCAGGGCTCGACGATCGTCCCTTGGTAAACGCAAGAATGGGAGCCATGCAATCGTTCAAGACCAGGTGCTTGCAACCGAAGTTCTGAGTGTTCCGAACTATGTTCTTCACGGTGAGCACGAGCGACCGAGCCTCCAAGACAACCTGGGCCTCCTTGCGGGACCACTTCTGGGACATAACGAGGGACCAGTCGCCGCCGTAGACCGACTCTGGGACCTCGGGGAAGGGGGCCTTCGGGATCTCGGAGTCCTGGGGGGAGGCGGTGACCCCGCCGCTGACCGAACACTTCAGAGCCGAGTCCCGTGGCTTGAGGATGGCCTCGTGGGCCGCTGAGTAACGCAAGCGCTCCGTATAGTGGCCCACGTGCTGGACTTCCTGGACGCTGCGGATGCCCCTGACGACCCCTGCGCCCCACCAGGACGCGTCGGTGCAGTAGACCATGGGGGACCAGGCGGCATTGACGTCGCGGAAAGCGAGTGCGATCAGCGCGGCACACCAACGAAGCTCCCGTTTGACTGAGCTCCAGAGAACACGCGTGTGGTGGCCGGACGACTCGATGAAAGAATACGAAGCCTGCAGACATGAGAGTAATTCACGGCGCAGCAGAGCCCGAGACGTGAAGTGTGACACGACGACCCTGACAAGATCCCCCGAGGCGTACTTCATGTCCGCGACAGCCAGACACCCTAGTCGTATTCGCCAGCCTATGCGGTGACTGATCCCGATCGTCGGGGCGTCCTGGTCGAAGGTCCAACCGAGAACACCCCCTCCAGCCGACACCGTCGGACCGCGGGTGCGAAACCCAGCGTCTCGGAGACTGCGATCGACGGAGTCAGTCACGGCATACGTGGGGTCCTTCGAGAGGCCAAGGGCAACGAAGTTGTCAACGTACTCTGTATGTAATACCTGCGTGGAAGATCGAACCAGACGGACAGGAAGGTGCGCATCGTCAAAAGCCAGACTGGGGGAGGCCAACGTGTTGGTGCGGGCCCGGAACTCCATGATACGCTGACAGATCCAGAGACTGTGTTTCCATCCCATTGGGACGGCGGTAAAGCACGGGGTAACCCAGTCGCTGGCCCTCAAGGGGCCTCCAGCGCTGTCGGTAGTGATACCTAGGACCCCAGCTCGTACTCGAGGTAGCCCGAAAAACTGCCAGAACTCCGGAGGTAGCTGAATCCCATAGAAGGCATTCTCAATGTCCGTCTCCCCAACATAGATAGGCCCCCCACCGTCAACCTCCAAGGCCGAGAACGCCGACCCAGTAGCTAGGTCAACGTGAGGGGGCTCATCGAAATGCTCGCCTGCCTGACGCCCGTCGAGGATCAAACGAAGGTCACCGTTCTTTTTAGCCGCAAAGAAGACTCCCACGCAGGATGTACACTCTCGCCTCCACGTCACAAGGTTAGACTGACTCAGGCGAAGCAGGAAGCGCGCATAAAGCCGAGGATGAGAACGGAGATGAGGATCGTGGTAAATTCTGGGAGGAGGTGTAGAAGTATCTGCAAGTGCTGGGTCAGGACGCCGTAGCGCATGCAGCTCATCAACTATGGCTTCGCCGACGGAGCCGCCCAGCTGCAAAATTCCAGCAGGTGACCACCCGACAGGAGGAAGGGCAACTCTGTTGATATTGGCCTCGCTGATGAGAACCACGGGGCTGCTCGTCACGGAGTAGCCTGGGTTAACGCGGAGCTCTCGTAAGGCCCCTGCAGAGGTGAGGTCCGCCGGGGGCTTGCCAAATCGTAGAGCCGCACGGTGGATATGCTCCAAACACGCCTTCTGGGCCGCCGATACTGTTTGACCGCTGTCCGAACCGTGTTGACCGTGTAACTGATTCAAGACCGAAGCCACCTCGGAGACCAAGGATGCTGACTGACGGTGGACCTCGAATCTCCTCCGAACTTTGCGCGAGACAGAGGTCCTAGGGGGGTCAGAGGAGGCCGGCACAGGCAGGGGAAAAATATCACGAGGGCACGCTCTCGACATGGGACCAGGCGCCACGCGATGGCCAGAGCACGAGGAGGACAGGAGGAAGGGGAAGATGATGGCGCGGCCCTGCGCCTCTGCTGGCAGAAAATCGAAGCGCGCCTGCCACGGCGCGCCCAGCCCCACAGAATGCGAACAGCGGGCGCCAGGGGGAGCGACCGCCGTGCGTCCAAAACTAATTTGGACCATGGCCCGCATCAGCCCGCTCTTCTCGCGCTTTTCGGACCTGCTTTAAAATGTTGGCATCGCGTTCGACTTGCTTGCCAACCCACTCGACCAGGGCGGGACACACCATGGCGTCTCCCGTCTCACGCTGCCCCCGGAAGGCGGTGTGCTCGTCCAGGTAGCCGAAGGCGCCCGCGGCGCCTCCTCGTCCGCGGCCACGGCCACGGCCCTTCTTCTTGGCATTCAGGTCGCCGTCGGCCACCTCGGTGCTGGCCCCAGCAAACCCGTCGTGCTTGGCATACGCATACTCGACCAGCTGCACTTCGCGCATCAGCGACTCGATCCCCGCGACTTTCGGCAGGTCGAGCGAGTCGTAGGCGCCGAGGGTCTCGAGGGCCTTCATCCCGAACTCGTGCATCGGGACACCCCAGCTGTCCTTGTGGAGGCGGTGGACCATCACGAAGAAGCGGTGGTGGTCGAGAGGGCCCCCGCCCCGACGGTCGATCCATCGGCAGCACCAAAGGGTGGCGCGGGGGCCCTCTATCGCCCAGTCGGGGAAGGCGATCTCGGATAGCGAGCTGGCCACGTCACGCCAGGCTCGACGGGAGCGTTGACCATTCACCGCGATCACGCTGAGGAGGCGGGCGTCACCCGCTGCCTCGAGGCCCTTGAAATCCTGCACCTGGTCGGAGCGAATCGTACGAACCAACCAGCCACCATAGCCAGGAGCCGTGTGGATGCCGACGTCGCCAGACATGACCTCCGTGCCGTTCGGAGCCACAGGAGTCCCACGCGGGCCGTACGTCGTCGTCTCAACCGTGACCATCACCGGGTAGGGTGCCGCTGCCACCATGCCCAGTCCTGCGGCCAGCGGGGCCCCAGCTGCAGGGGCGCCAGCAGCCATGGCTGCGGGGAATGCGGCCGGGGCGGCGGCTCCAGGCGCCGCGGCGGCCAGCGGGGCCGCCACCACCGCCCCCGGTGGAGCAGCGCCAGGCAGCGCGGCTGGGGGTGCTCCGAGCAGGGCCAGCGGGGCGGCGGCCGCGGCGGGGGCGCCCAGGGCCGGAGGGCCCGGGGGGGGCGCCATCCCAGGGAGCGCCAGCGGCAGCCCGGGGGCTGCGGGGGCCGCAGCGGCGGCCGCGGCTGGCGCCGCGGGCGCGGGCCACACGGCGTCGACCAGGCTGCCCGTCGCCGGGAGCACCGCTGGCTGCCCTGCCGCCCGCTCGCGAGCGAGGAAGGCGGCGTCGCAGAACGCCTCGGCGTCCGCGCGCATCGTGGCGAGGGCGGCGGCGTCGGGCTCCTGCTGGAAGCGGTACACCTGACCTCGCGGGATACCAGGCGGGGGAGGACGGAAGACCTCCGACCAGCGCCAGGCCTCGATGTCCCGCGAGGCCCCGGAGAGGTCGATTTGCTCGGGGTCGCCATCCGGCGAGACGCCGATGACCTCGTCGGCGTCAGTCACTTGAGTCGCCGAGGAGGCCAGCACCCCGACAACGCGCCGCTGGTGGTACAGCGCCTCGCCCTGGTACCGGAGCCACAGCCAGGGTCGTAGTATCGGTGGGGGCATCGCCGCCGCCATCAGTCCCGCGGCGGGGACACTGAGCCGTCAGCCAGCGCAACACCTGCCAGGTGCCCAGCGCGAGGGCAGGCACCACAGCTCCTCCGGCCGCGCCCAGCAGCAGGAGTCCAGCGGACGCGAGCCAGCCAGGGAGCCACGGCGGCGCTGCCGCAGGGGTGGTGCAGGCTGGCTCGGGGGCCCCGGGGCAGCCTGGGCACGCGGGGCACTGCGGGCACGCTGGCGCCGGGGGGCAGTGCACCTCTCCGCACACGAGGGAGCCGCAGACAGACTCGGGGCACCTCGGGCAGGATCCAAGCCAGGCGAAAGTGGCCTGACCTGCCCAGTGCGCGACAGCCACCGGCAGGTCGGGCATGCGACGCGCGCGAGAAGCGTGCGCCCGCCCGTGAAAGCTTGAGCCCCGCGGTTGCGGCAGGGCGGCGCACTCTGCAACTCTCTTCCAAGCAAACCCTTACTGAAGTAGTCGAAGGAGGAGCAAGAGCAACAGCAGGAGCACGAGCAAGAGCAGGGCGGGGAGCAGCAGGCCACCCAGGCGGCCCCCCAAATTACCCCAACACGACAGATACAGTCAACCCGCACAGTAAGGACGCACGATAAGGATGCAAGGGCCTCGGACGCCCATTTCGAAGCTTTCCGAGCGGGGCGCGGCCAACGAAAGTGTGCAGATGGGCCGAGGAGGCAAGGATGTTAAGGGTACCCTTGGGAAGGTTGCCCATTCTTACTATGCGGGTTGACTGTACCACAATCTGACCCCAAAAGGTCCTAAGAGGGCCCGCAAGACGGCCCCCGGACGGTCCCGAGAGACGCCAGAAACAAAACTGCCCAAGACGGCTTCCAAGATGGCCTGACTATGCACACGACGACTCTCAGACTCTCCAGATCCTCTCAAATCGTACAGGATACATATATTTGTATATGTATATGTGTACACACATATATAAACACATATATATATATATATATATATATATATATATATATATATATAAGCAGCCTCAGCAGACGCCGAAGGTGACCCGCATGAGCCCGCAGAGACAACCCACAATGTCTCCAAGATAGCCCCGCCGCGGCCTCAAACACCCGCCCTCAATAACGATCTGCCCTCTTGTTTTCGTGCGCCCCGCTCGTGCACTTCCTCGGTATGCCCGCGATGCACTTCACGTTCTGAGAGGCTCTTGCCCCTCTCCCCGCGTCCTTTCGTGCCCAATTCGCTCCTGGCGAGCCCCGCCCGTTGCCCGATCGGCGCCTGCACCTGCTTCGGCTCGCTTGTGCCCGCTGACAAAAAACGTTCTCGTGCGCCACATCGTCTCCGCTGTCGATTACCCCAGCGATGCACTCGACATGATAACCGCTCTGCGCTGGCGCGGCGAACCCCCCGCGCAGGGGTGCTCGTTCGGAACGTGCACGGTCGGCACGACTGGTTGGCACTCCCCTGCCGAAGGCTGCCGCAACCCTGCGACAGCAAACGACAATCTCGCACTTGCTGCGCGCAATTGCCCTGTTCTTCGGACATGTCCGTCTGGACGGTTCTCTCATGGGTGTCTATGTCGTGGACTTCGGCCCCGGCTTCCAGCGGCATGCGATGCACGGTGGGGCACCTGCGGCAGCCGCACCCCCGCTGGGCCCCGAGACGGCCCAAGAGGGCCCCGAGATGGCCCAGGGAGAACCCGAAGACGGCCCAGAGAGCCACAGGATGGCCCAGGAGGGCCCTGAGACGGTCCCAAGATGCCCCCAGCACGGCCCCCAGACGGCCCGAATACACACTCAAGACGGCCCGGGAGCAGACAGGAAAAGCCTGTCAGGCCGTGTCCAACGCGAAGAGGTGGGCACCCTGTCGCTACTGCAGCCACTTCTTGCTGCCGCTGTTGCTGTCCGCTGCCTCGTTTCGGTGGGCGTTCATCCTCAGGAACACCACTTCAGTACCGAACCGCCAGTCGGCCTGTATCGTTCAAAACCTTGACAGGAGGAGGAGCAGGAGGAGGAGGAGGAGCAGGAGGAGGAGGAGGAGGAGGAGGAGGAGGAGGAGGAGGTGCAAAAGGAGTCCTCCTGCGCCTTCTCCTCCTCATGCTCAGACCGCCTCGTCTCTATACAGGGAGGCTGGAAACGTAAGAGGCTGGAATCATAGCCGACAAAGAGGTTAGAGTAGGTAAAATGGCATCGGCCTGCGCCCGCGCAAAATAAAGAACAGAAGCGGGCCCTAGCCCCGAGGAAAATAAAACAGCGCGCCCGCCATGCTCCTGCGAGGCCCCCAGCCTGCCCGAACACAACGCCGCGCCGACGGAGGCGGCAAGCCGCCTGCGGTCGGGCCCAGACATGGCGACGTAAAACGCTGGCCCGCAGCGAAAAAAGATATTGATTTCGGCGGTGGCCTGGGAGGGGCGTGGGCGGCCCAAACAACTGGTATCAATGGATCGGCCGACGAAACAAAAACACTAGGAATCTGACGCAGCGAGGCCACGAACGACAGACACTGAGGCTGGCCCACTGCGAACAACCACAAAGACTTTGGCAGAGGCGCCGGCAGCGTGGGGGAGGCTAAGAAACAAGAGGTCGACGGAAAAACACAAAGCGTGGCCCCCCATCCAAGGCATAACACTTTTTTGATCCGCGGGTCGAGAGCGAGCCTCTTCCGGTCGAAGCTAAGCGGGCCGCGCACAGCTTTGATTAACAGAGGAAGGAAAACAGACGGAAGGACCTCACGTCAAGGCCAGGAGAGGGCAAAGCCCCGGGATCAGGCGGTGCCGAGAGCGAAGAGCATGCAAAAGGAACGCCTTGAACAGGAACCCGGAGGCGAAGTACCCGGAGGCAAAGAGCTGGTGGTGGTGCCGTCAGCGGCGCATCATGTACAGTCGGACCCAGGACAGAAGAACGTCTCTCAAGAACATGAGACCCTCCGCCGGACAAAACACACAGAGCATCCAAGGGTACCCTTCCCAGGGTGCACAAGGACCTCCAACGAACAAGAAGAACACTAGGGTACCCTCCCCGAACCGACCTCGATCTTATACCTCGGTCCGACTGTGCACCAGCCCCATCAACTGCGGGAGCCCCCAAACCACGGCGTAACACAAGCGGGCGGCAACGCAGAGATCTCGCCGCGCCATTCGGGGGGGCGCGCGCGGGGGCCCCCCCCCCCCCCCAGAAAGCAGAAGCGGCCAGGAGCACCGAGAAGTTAGAGGGAGGGAGTGCCCTTTCCCAGGGCTTCCCCGGCCGGCCCCCACAAAAGCAGAACCCGAGGCCCGGAACAGCTGACACAACCGAGCCCGGGCGCCTCTCCTGCTTCCAGCCTCCCTGCACCCTTGCCGACCTGTCTTTTTCGAGTCGCCGGCACCTGGCGACCCCTGCATGGGACTGGCTTGTCAAGCCGAATGTCTCTATTGATGGGGGGTCGGTCCCCGAAACCGTCCCGAGACGTGAAACAATTACAGTCAACCCGCAGAGTAAGGATGCGCGATAAGGATGCAAGGGCCTTGGACGCCCATTTCGAAGCGTTTCGAGCGGGGCGCGGCCAACGAAAGTGTGCAAGGATGGGCCCAGGAGGCAAGGACGTAAGGGTACCCTTGGGAAGGTTGCCCATCCTTAATCTGCGGGTCGACTGTAAACAAATCGGCGCGAGTTCTTCGAGTCGCCGGAAGTCTGGGTCTGGGTCGCTGACCTCTGCTGGGGCTGGCTGCGGCCACAATTTCGATGCGGCTTGACGGCGAGAGGCCCCACAAAGCCCCAGAAGGGTGACACGCGTCAAACTATCTCTGTCGTCGTCGTCCTCCTCCTCCTCCTCCTCCTCCTCCGCTTCTGCCTGGTGCCTCTCGGGAGCCGCAGGATATCTGCGAGCGGCCCTGCCGGACCCGCGCGGCCATGACCCGCTTGTGGAAGTCGCCCTCGCGCGAGCGGGGAGGGGAGGCAGGAGAAGGGGGAACTACCCGAGCAAGCCCAAGATGCACCAACGATGGTGCAGTCCATCCTCTCGCCCCCGAGCCCCCCCTCGGTAATCACTGCAGGAGTTCGTTTTCGATGCAGGACGCGCTCCCTTGAAGGATGGGCGCCCCATGAATCTGCCATCCTCGCGAGAGCCCCGTGTTGGGGTCGGATCCGCCATGCGTACTTTCTATACCTTAAAAACAGCGGAGGGTCATAGAGCTCAAAGATCTGTCTGGCGAGAGCCCCAGGAAAGAGCCGAGCATCAACCGTGTAACGGTTACACACTCATCGGCTTCTTGCCATAAGAAAACACAATAAGTGAGGAAAGCAAGACCCACCCGCACCTCCAGCAGGGAACCCCACTCCTGACCTGGTGATCCAAAGGGCTCTGGCCGGGGTTGGGTGGGTTGTGCAGTCCTCAACTCGCCATCGCTCGGACGTCCCTTCCCTGTGCATTTTTCGGTTTCGTGCGTGTTTTGTTGGCCCGATGGTCGAGGATGCTTCTCGATGGCCCCAGCCGAAAAAGATGCACACGTCCGAGCGATGCCAAGTCAAGAGGTCTCAAGCCCACACCTGAATGTGAACAATGCTGACCTCCATCCGTGTAGCTGCTGCGATCTCTAAGACTCAGTCTGCGCCACGCTTACGCGGCAACCGCATTTTGAAAATCACTCGGCCTCCGTCCGCGCAGCGGTCAGGGGCCTCTGGGATGAATGCGAGCGGCCCGAAGGCGCGAGCCACACTTAGAAGCCACGCGGCCCTCCATCCGTATAGCTGTTCGAAGTGGACATGCGCCCGCCCTGCCAACGCGTCAGATGGTGCTTTGCAGGGCCTCAGTCAGTGGTGGGGAAGCGGGATGGAGGAGCGAGAAGCGAAGAACACCTCTCCCCTCGTTCACCTACCATTCTCTCGTTTTGCGCTGGAGCCCCACGTCGCTGCCTGTGTCCTTGCCGCACATGCGCGTATGGACATATCATGGGGTTCTGGGCCCGCGGCGTGATGGGCTGGGTGATGGGCCTTTTGACAAAAAGCTTGGGTGATGGGCCCGCGACGTTCGCATCTTCAGAGGCCCCTTGCCGAGCTTCGCCAGCGCGCTGGGCGCCCGGATCGCCGCGGCAGCCTCGGCGGCAGGATGGCCGAGCAGCGCGCAAGCTCTGCGATGCACACCGCTCGAAGCCAAACCTCCCTCCACCGCTGAGGCCCTGGGCTGCGCGGCCCGTGGGCCATCGGGGGCCCAGGAGGCCGCCGCCCTGAAAAGCAAAAACAGGCAAGGGCTCTGCAGAGCCCGCGCTCGACGGCCCTTCGCGAGGACGAGGGCCCGATCCTCCCGCGGACTGACTTTTCAATCCTGGCGCCTCTCCTCTGTTCGGCCTAAACGATCCAACATGAAGAAGCGGCGCTGGGAAGGGACGGATTGAAAACAAAAACTCAATCCGCTGAGGGTCTGGGAGGATAGGCCTCCTGGCGAGCGCGCTGTCGAAGATCGTCGCGTGGGCCCTTCGGCCCGCGAAGCTGCTGCAGCACTGCTCCCGCCATCTGCGATGTGAACGGCAAACTCTTCTAGGTCAACTATCCTCGCGTTTCGCAGGCGGCGACGCGCGCTTGCCCTCTCGCATCCTCAAGTTTGGCAGCCTCATAATCTCAATGTGACATCAGGTACAAGACGGCCAAAGAGTTTGCAAGACACCAGCGCGAACCATGCCTCAAGTGCTGGAGCAAGCGTACGCGTGTGTGAAATCATACAGACATGCATGGCATCGTGTACCTCTGGCGATACGGCCTTCAGGATCAAGACTTGGGTGAGCCTTCGTGCGGCGCACGGCCAACGCTGCCCGCGACTCGAGGACAGCACCGCAGTCCATGCATGGCCAAACAAAGGAAAGAAGCGGGGCAAACGCGAAAGAGGGGGTTCTGGCGATCTTCGAATCGCGAAACTCATCGTGCCAAGCGCTGAGCGCCATCCGCGACAACTCAGACCTAAAATTCGCTTGCCCAGCTCGGCGGCAAGCTCATTTCCAACCGCGAGCGCCCAGGTCTCCGGCCAGGCGGACCCGCCAGGGGGGGGGCCCGCAAGGCCACTCAGCCCCAGGAGCGGAGGCCGGAGGCGAGAGCCAAAGGAGGTCTCGACACGCAAGCTCGGCCCAGGTCCCAGCCACCTGGGCCGCTTCGTCAAGCAGGGGAAGCAAAACGGGCGGAGCAGCAGCGAACAGCCCAGGGAGCAAACGCAGGCGCCTCGGTCTGGTCACTACCGCAACTGGGAGCTGTCCAGCGCGCAAAACGAGATGCTGCCCAGGGGCATTCTGAAATATACTGCCATCGTAACGCAGGCCGACTGCTGCACGAAAATGGCGTATGAAGTGGTACTCAAGCTGCGCGTACTGCTTGCGGGTCAACTCGGCCCATGCGCATGCATTGCGCAGAAAGTGCGACATGCGAAACTTGTGCGCGTACGAGGTCATGTTTTTTCCCAACCATCCTGTGGTGTTGGGTCCTCGTTTTGAAGAGACAGCGCCCCGCGTCCCACCTCCTCTCCTCCTCCTCCCCCTCCTCGCCCTCCTCCCTCCTCCCCCTCCCTGCCTCTGCTCTCGGCACACCCCTCACACGTTTCGTAGCCCCATAGGGAGCTCCCCAGTGGCACAGCCCGCATGCGGTTCCCCCACCCAGGGCAGCGTTTCGTGGCCCCATAGGGAGCTCCACCGACGGCCCCATAGAGGGCTCCACCGAAGGCCCCACCCAGGAACGTTTTGTGGTCCCACAGGGAGCTCCATCGAAGGCCCCAGCGGCTGCGCCCGCATGCGGGGCGCCTGTGGGGCCCGCAGCTTCATGTTCGAAACCGAACGAATATTCAGTTCTCGTAGCTGTCGTCACCGTTGTGCTCTTCGGAGGGCGACTCGCGCGACCCATGATGTGAGGAGGAGGAACAGGAATTGAGGAGGACGACGGCGGCCGGGCGCAGGGGGAAACCCTTGCGTCCGGGCCGGGGGTGGTAACCCATCCTCGGCCGAATCGGGGGCAGGGGGAAACCCTTGTCTCCGGGCTGGCGGTGGTAACCCATCGTCAGCCGAATCGGGGTCAGGGGGGAACCCTTGTCTCCGGGCTGGCGGTGGTAACCCATCGTCAGCCGAATCGGGGTCAGGGGGAAACCTTTGTCTCCGGGCTGGCGGTGGTAACCCATCGTCGGCCGAATAGGGCGCAGGGGGAAACCCTTGCGTCCGGGCTGGCGGTGGTAACCCATCGTCGGCCGAATCGGGCGCAGGGGGAAACCCTTGCGTCTGGGGCGCGTGTGGTAACCCATCCGCGCCTGAAACCAGTCCCTCAACATTGCGTTCTGTGGGTAAGGGGCCACTAACGCAATTATCTTGTGTTTTTTCGTTCTGTTTTCGGCCCCAACCATATGAGGAGGAGGAGGAAGGGGGAGGAGGAGGAAAACAGAGGACGGAGGATGGAGGACGGATGGCGGAGGACTGAGGACGGTGGAGGGAGGACGGCGGAAAGAGTACGGAGGAGGGAGGCCGGTGGACGGAGGGCCGCCTCCTCACTTCTCGCGATGCCATCTCTCGTCGTCGTCGTCGTCGTCGTCGTCGTCGTCGTCATCGTCGTCGTCGTCGTCGTCGTCGTCGTCACTCCCGTATTCTGTCTCCCTTCCTTGTCTCCCTCACTATCTCTCCTCCTCCCCTGCTTCCCTGCCGCGCCAGGTTCACGTTGCCCTTCTTGCTCCAAGAGGCCCCTCGGAGAGCCCTGTGGAGGCCCGCACTTGTGTAACATCGTATAGCTTCTGTACTATTTTGACATATTCGTTTTTTTCCGGCGCTCGTGGGGACTCCCGATTCTTCTCCTCATTGCTCGTTTTCGGCTCCCGTTGCCCTTCCTGTTCCAAGACGCCCCCTGGAGAGCCCCTGGAGAGCACCGAAGAGGCCCACATATGTGTAAAACCGTATAACTTGTGTAGTATTTTGACATATTCGATTTTTCCGGCGCTCCTGGGGATTTCCAGTTCTTCTTCTGATTATTCGTTTTCGGTTCCCGTTAACCCTCCTGCTCCAAGAGGTCCTCCGGAGAGCCCCTGGAGAGTCCGAGGAGGCTCAGACATGTGCAAAATCGTATAGGTCGGGTGCGATAGTCGGATTTTCCGGCACTCCTCTGAATTCTCGGATTTTCCGGCACTCCGGTACTCCTGAGCCACGATGGCACAGAGACGACCCAGGACAGTGCCAAGATGGCCCAAGACGGCCTCAAGACTGTCCAACAGAGCTCCCAGGAAATCTCCATGATGCAGGCAGAGGCCAGTATCGTTGACCTTGCGTACGTTTTTGACGGACGGAGGACCGCCTCCTCACCTCTCGCGATGCGCCCTCTCGTCGTCGTCGTCGTCGTCGTCGTCGTCGTCGTCGTCGTCGTCGTCGTCGTCGTCGTCACGGACGGTTTCGGTTTCGGAGGTGGACGGTTTCGGAGGGATGGGTGGGGTCTGGAGGTTTTGAGACGAGTGCGCAGGGTTTAAGGGGTTTGGGAGGGTTCCGGAGTTTTTCGGAGCAGTGCGGAAGGTTTCGGATAGATGGAGGGTTGTAGAGGTTTCGGGAGGGTGCGGGGGAATGTTCAGGATTGGAGGGTTCCACAGGTTTTGGGAGGAGCCCAGGTTTTGCGAGTTGTGCGGGGGAAATCGTTCGCTATGAGTTTTTCGAGACACTCGAGATCCGGCGACCCCCCCCCCTTCCGTGTCCGTAAACATGAAGGCCCGAGCAGGCGCCGCCGCGCGTTCTGGCGCGCGCCCGCCGCCATCTTCGACGGACAACCCCCGCTCGTGGACGGGACTCCCCGCGCGGGACGACCTTCCCGAGTCGGGGGGTCTCTGGCTCGCGCGAACGGGCCTCCGCCGCGCGCCAGCGGGTCCCGCGCGGATGCCGCCGAAAGGCAGCGGGGCGAGATGTCGGACCAATGTGGTCAAGAGGGAGCGAGGTGGGGCAGTGACCTTCCGCGTGCGGCTGCGGGCCGCAGGCGAGCCCTGCATCTACGGTCCTGACCGCGACGACCTGGCCGCTGCCACAGCGGATCAGGCTCGCCTCGTGAGGATGCCGGAAACGGGGCAGCGCGCAGAGCTCCGCCGCCTGCGGGCCGACCACGCGCAGGGGCCAGGGGAGGACCCCCAAACGCCGCGGCGCCAGCTGGAGGTGCCCCCTCGGCGCCGAGTGATTGGGAAACGAGGACCATCGCCCCGTCCTTCCCCTGCGCCGAGAGCCGCCGCCGGCACTCCAGCATCGGGCCTGAAGGGAGGTCCGCGGACGCCAGGCGCCTCGGCCGCGGGCTGCCGCTCCCGGCAGACTCCCGGGACGGCGCCCCGCCGAGGCCCGACTCCTCGGACGGCGGGAGGCCGACGGGACGTCGCGGCCGCGACGTTCCGCGACGTGTTGGCCTGGTGCGATGACCGCGGCCGCTGGCCGCGGCGCCCCACCTCCCAGAAGGGGCCCGAGGCAAACCTGGCAAAAAGGTGGCGCAGGTGGGCGAGGTCGACCAAGCTGCAGCCATCGGCGCAGATATTGAAGGCGCGCATCGACGAGCTGATGCAGACCGAGCGGGAGTCGAGGCAGGAGGATGGGCGAGCCGAGGGCGCAGAGCAGACGCCGCTGCTGCTGCACCAGCATTGGTGCGAGGGGAACGACGTCCACGACGAGGATCGTTGGAGGCAGCCTGCCGTGCATCGATCTCGCGGCGGCCAGCACCCGTACCCGAGCTTCTCGAACTTGCTCAACACTTGCTACCTCGACGCGCCCCTGCAGTGCCTGCTCCACTGCCCCGCCGCGCGCGCCGCGCTCCTGGGGGCGGAGGGTGAGGGCGAGCCGCCGATTGTGCAGGACGCCGGGTGGGGGACGGCACGGGAAATCTCGTTATTGTCTTCGCTCAGGCACGGCCCCTGCCTTCCTCCGCAAGGCGAGGAAGGCGACTCGTGCGACGCGGGGGCTGGGGGGTGGGGGGCGCACATCAGGGTTTTCACGCCCCCCTCTCGAGGAGCTTCGCGCCCTGGCGAGCGCCTGCGTGCGCGGGGCGCCGCTGCCCGCGGAGGACGTCGGCGGCGCGCCGCCCGCGACCGCTCGCGTGGACCGCTGGTCCCCGCACGCCTTCGTGGACGCGTTCCTCGGAACGCACTGGGTGGATTTCAATCTGGGAAGGTGCGGGGACGCGAGCGAGGCGCTGTCGTTCGTCGTGGACGACACGCCTGGTCTCCGCCGTCTCTTCCAGACAGGATGCGGCGACGAGGTCATGCTGAGGCTGCCAGCTTTCGTGGACGGGGCAGACGACGGCGACGACGCCCTGTCGCCGCAGGACTTCTTCCTCGACGGGGGCGCGCAGACACTGGACATTCGAGAGCTGCTCCGCCGCGGCGCCTCCATGGGCGGGCGACTGCAATCGAAGCCCGAGTTGTTGGCGGTCCACGTGCCTCAGAGATGGGAGCGGGGCGACGGCGCGGCGCTCTTCCTCGGCGGCTGCGACATCGCGCCCTACTGGGGCGAGCTCCCGGTGGTGGCTCTGAGGGCGGGGGAGGAAGACGTCGCATACCGCCTGCGCGCCTACGTGCAGTACATCCTGCCCGAGGGATCGGACGCCATCCCATCCCGCGTCCTGAATGACCCCCAGGGCCACTTCGTGGCCCACTTCGAGGAGGACGGCAGCTGGTACACTGCAGACGACCTGGGCGATCGGCCGCGCGTGGTCCAGTGGGCGCCGGGCACCGAGCACAAGATGCCCTTCGTGATCTTCCTTGAGAGGGTGGACTCCAGGGCGGCCTGCGCCGAGGCGTGCCCGTGGCCGCCCGGGCCTGTCGTCGACGGCGCGGAAGGCGCGGGCGACGACGGCGACGCCGACGCGGACGGCGAGGGCAGCCCCGGCCTCGACGGAGCGCCCGAGGAGGATGGGGGGGGTGGCGGGGCCGGCGACGCCAGCCAGTCGGGCGCGCGGAAGCGGCCCGCGGCGTCCGCGAGGAGCGGCGCCCCTCCCAGGAAGCGCCTCCGCCTCCGAGGGAAACAGAGCGCAGCTGGATGGCAGCAGAGCCGCGCTGGCAGGCAGCAGAGCCGCGCTGGGAGGCAGCAGGATAGGCAGCAGAGCCGCGCTGGGAGACAGCAGAGCCGCGCTGGGAGGCAAGACGGCCGGAGCCGCGATGGCCGCGACGACCAGAAGCGCGGATGCAAGCCAGAGGACGTGCTCCGGCAGGGGCGGAAGCCGAAGAGCAAGGGCGACAACGCCGACGGGTCTAGGCAGGACGCCCAGAACAACGCCGCCGCCCCTGTCCTGCGCAGCAGCAGAGACGCGAAGAGCTTGCAGGCGGCCTGCGACGCGCGCCGGGAGTGCGGCGACCTCTTCTTGCTCTTGCACTTGCTGGAGCCGCTGGCCGTTGCCGATGACCTGCTGAAGTATTACCCAGACTTCTTCGTCTACGCTGGCGACGATTGCGCCAACCGATGGGCGACGTTCCTGCGCGCCCCCGATCGGCCAAACAAGTTGGCAGGCAGGCTGCGGGAGGCGCTCGGGGTCACGGAGGAGGAGATTTCCGACGCCAGGCGCCGACTGGAGTGCGGGGAGTGGCACATGCACCACGTCGCGGAGCTCCTGGACGAGCGCCTGAACTCCGCCCGCGGCGTGCACTCCGTGTCGGCCGCGGTCCGCATGGCGGCGGGCGACGGGCCGGGGGCGCAGGGCGACGGCAATCCGTTGAGGGCGCACCTGGCGGAGGCGTGGCAGCGCAGAGCCTGCAACCGCGGGCCGCCACGGCACTCGGCCATGCCTGCGCGCCTTCGGGATCGCTCTGAGCGGTTTCAGTGCCCCGCGCCTGCGCTGCAGTATACCTGCCGCTTGTACGAGGCCGAGTTCCCCAACAGGGAGGCGGTCAAGGCGCGCCAGGACAGGGTCCACGAGGGGCAGCGGTGGTACCAGTCGCAGTACGTGGCGCGGTGCGAGCTGGAGCCCTACCAGCCGTCGCCGACCGAGGAGCGCCAGGCGAGCGGGCGGGAGGGAGAACTGCGCTCGACCCCCCCCCGGATATTCTCTTCGCGCTATCGTTGCCAGCGCTGGCGATTGGGGTTTGGAGTTTTTCGGGCATGTTTGGCAGCGGAGATCTGGGGGTCGGGCGGCAGTTTCCCCGCCCCCGCTGCAAGTGGTTCGCAGGTTCCACATCTCCCAGTGCTGCGCCACCGTCGACCCCGTGGACGAGCCGTTCGCCCCGAAGCTTGAATCGGAAGTGCAGAAGCAGCTGCTGCACGCGGCGATCATCGAAAGGATCGTCGGCGAGATCGGACAGGGGGCTCCCGCGGAGGATGCGTCCCTGCAGACGGCCAAAGCGGCGGAGTCGGCAGCCCGCGCTCAGGCGGCGTGTCAGGCGAGGGAGCCCCGCGCTTTCCAGGCCTGCGTCTGCTGCGCAATGCAGCAGTGGTCCGAGAATCTCCACTCGGAGTTTCTCGTCGGCGACATGTGCACCATCAAGGACCGGGCCAAGTTCGCGGAATGCCTGTCGGCCGAGTGGTATCACCAACGATGGCCCCTCATACCGCACGAGGAGCTGATGTTGTCGGCCGTGGACTTCCCGCACGAAGACAGCGAGGGCTCGCCGACGTCCACGAAGATACTCTTGCACAAGAGGCGCGTGCCGCCAGAGGCGCTCGAAGGGAAGGAGCCTGTGAAAGTGTGCGACGACTGCCGGAAAAACCAATGGTCCGATCGTCCCCAGGTGCCGCTCATGGCACTGGTGAACGACCTCTGGCTGGGCCGCCACCGCCCTCTGCTGAGGAAGGCCGCTCTGACGCGCCAGATGCTGCTCGCGCTGGGCCGCGTCGTGTCCGCGAAGATCTACCTGTCCAGCAAGGGCGCCGACAAGGCCGTCCGGCAGGAGCAGCAGTCCTGGAGGCAGAAGTTCTTGCAGTACGCCATGCAGGGCACCGCCATCGTGTTCGGGAACGGGAACGTGGACCACGCGATGCGGAGCTTCCCGCTGGAGCCTGACACGCTCAGGGACACGTTCGTGGCCGTCTTCGCGGGCGCGGACGACGACGACGAGGGCATCCCCCTGACTGAGGAGCAGAAGCAAGAGAGGGCCCTGCGAGCCATGAGGGAGGAGGTGGCGTTGCACGTCGACAAGGCGGAGTACGACGCCCAGGCGCGGTTGTTGAAGCAACACAACTACGTGTACAATGACCCGGGCGTGCAGTACCGATCGGACTTCGTGGACCAGTTTCCCTCGCAGCCGGGCGTGCCCGACTGCATGCTGGCCTGCGCCAAGTACATCCCCACGGACGCGGCGTTGGACGACGTCGCGCAGGCACAGGGGCCCGCCTCGGCCACCACTGGCGGGCAGGCCGAGATGGGCGCGGCCGCCGAGGACGCGCAGGAGCTGACCAAGTGGCTGTCCGTCCTCGAGGACCACATGGACGACGTCAGCGAGCTCGCGCCCCTGCCGGCGCTCCAGGGCATGCTCGAGAGGATGGAGAGCCAGGCGGGGCGCGTGGTTGCCAACGAGCTGATGTCCAGGCTCGAGGACCAGAGAGGCGAGGACAGGGCGATGCAGCTGGACGAGATCGGGCGTCACCGCCTGCGAGATCTTTGCAAGGAGTTCCATTCGCGCTGTCGGAAGATCTCCCCGGGGGAGGACATGGCGAAGCTGCACTGGCGTGTCCAGGCGCTGGAGACGAACTACTGCCAGACGAGGGAGGACGCGGGCGACCTGGCGCGACCTGCAGGAGTCGCGGGGACTCCCGCCGAGGACGACCCGCGCTCCTTGCAGGAACCGCCCGGACCAGACGGCCAGCGAAAGGCGAGGCTTGTGGTGCCCACTTCAAAGAAGGCGGAGACCTGGTGGGATCCGAAGTACTGGTCGATTGCCAGGCCCACGGACTTCTGCTACGGGGACTGCGCCTGGGGCCTCGGCGATAAGGAGGGTCGGCTCTGCTTCAGCGTGGCGCACTTCATCAGGAACCTTCTTACGCGGGAGGAGATGGAGTACGACGTGCCCGGCGACAAGGAGAAGTACAAGGCCGAACCCATCAATCGTTTCCGGAGCTCCTGGTACGACGTGCACCTGCTGCACTCCTTTTACAGAGTCACGGAGACGACCAACAGCACCTACACCTTCATGAAGCAGCCTGGGGCGTTCGGGGCCGCCCGCGCCTGCGCGGACATCACGCCAGAGATGATCGGGGAGATGTAGCTCAGGGCGCAGCAGACGACCGGGGAAGCCACGCTGAACGGCATCCTCAAGGACAAGGACACCCCCAACGAGGTGCGGAAAGCTCTGGTCACCCTGGGCCAGGCCACTGCCAGTCTAGTCGGGTCCGATGGACACAGGTGGGAGCTGCGAGGGCGAGGCGTATACCCTGCGTTTTGGCCCACCCGTGCAGTTCGTCACCCCGAACCTGGCCGACACCAAGCAGCCCCTGATCCTCGTCGTGCAGGGGGAGGAGTACAACTTCGACAACGACCTGAACGAGGCGGAGAGATTCACGTGCAGCGAGATGTCGCAGCGTATCGCAAAGGACCCCACGGGCCAGTCCGTGGTGTTCGAGCTGATGATGAGGCTGTTCTTCGTCCACGTCCTCGGCCTGCGCCCAGAGACCGTCGGGTGGCGGCGAGGAGAAGTTCAAAAGCCTTCGGAGCACTGGGTTTCCGACGGCGTCGCTGCCGATCTCATGGGCGCGCCCACAGTGTTCGGCCCCCTCGCGGCGGCGTTCGGGCCGGTCGGGGCCCAGGGCCGCGGCTCGCTGCATCCGCACATCCTCATCTGGCTGCTGCAGGGCCAGCTGCACGTGCTCTTGGACATGCTGCAGCGCGACCAGGCGCGCTTCCAGGAGCGCCTGAGCCTGTGGATGCGGCAGGTGGTGCAGGCCGTCGTCGCCCCTCAGCAGAGCTCCGCGGAGATGCAGCCCCAGCAGCTGCAGGGGGGCGAGAACAAGTGCAGGGTCCAGGTGCCGCCGCTCCCCTTCGGGCCCAACGAGAAGCGGTACTTTAGAGCCGACGGGAACGCGGAGATGGCCACGGCAGAACAGCTCGGGGCCGAGGGCGAAATCGAGCGGCAGGAGCTGTGGATCAACGATCCCAAAGAAACCGCAAATCGAGGGGAGGACGTGTATCACAAGGCGATTCGCCCCGATCTGCCGCTGCGCAACAAGGCCGGCGAGACCGTGGACGACGAAGCGACGTGGACAGAGCAGCAGGCCGCGGAGAGCAAGAGGCAATGGCAGCGGCCGCTCTCCAGCAGCGCCTCCGGCATCTTCCCGAAGTACCGCAGCGGGTGCACCCTCGAGCAGTCTCTCCCGAGCGACGAGTGGATTCGCGAGATGTGCCGCGACGCGCGCGAGCTCGTCATCGGTTGCGGCATCCACGTCTGCAGCCCCTCCTGCTATAAGTACCATTCCGACAAGACGCGCGGCTCGCAGATCTGCCGCCACAACTACTACAACCTGGTGACATTGTGCACGTGGCCCGAGGAGGGGGACTCCCAGGAGTGCCGGCTCCGCACGCGCGGGAAGGCGCTGCGTGGCTGCATCGGGATATTCCAGGAGACGGACTACGGCATGGCCGGGCGCATCGTCACCTTTCAGCTCCACCCCGGGGAGACCACCACCAAGTGCGCGGCGCTCGTCTCAGCGCGGTGCAACGTGGACGTGCAGGACATGAGACGGGTGCTGCCCCCGCGCCTGTGGATGGAGGCGTCGGAGCTGGAACCGCCGGGGAAAGAGGAGCACCGCAACAGTTACAACCACGGCCTCTACCCTCAGCGCTACCCTGACTTCCCGGTGGGCGCCCGGGAGGACTGGGGATGGTTCCAGCACCTGACCACCACGTCCGAGGCGAAGTGGGACCTCGTCGTAGTCACCGGCTGGCACGAGATCTTCAAGGAGCTCGCGGACTGCGATAGCCCGAGCGTGGACGGTGACGACGCTGCGCGCGCAAATCTCCAGTGCGACCTGGAACGGCACGCGCTCGCCACTTTCGTGGATACTCACAACACGAGCTACTACGTGAACTCTTACACCACGAAGGTGAACCCCAACATGGACAACGTGCTCTGCAAGCTCCTTGACGGCGTGCGCCGCCTCAAGAGCCAGTGGGGCGATCGGGAAGCGCAGGCCGCGGGCGACGTCGTCGACGACCCCCAGTCGGAAGCGCAAAGGATTTCAAGCGCACGCTGCAGGTGCTGTCCCGCTTCGAGACCTGCTTCCGCAGGGCCTCCTGGAAGAGCGGCAGCGGGATGGTATTCCCAATGCTTTTCGGGCACCTCTCCTTCCTGACGCACCGTTGCTGGAAGGTGTTCACGCGGAAATCCATCTACCTCGCCGCGGAGTCCTGGCGCAGGCGATACGGCCAGGCCGACACCGCGGAAAGCCCGCCCGCCGCCTCGATCACGTACGCGGTCCCCGGCACTGGTCAGCAGGTCGCGATGCCGGGGTGGAGCGAGGTGCAGCGCGAGGGCGAAACGGTGTACGTCAGCCCCGACGGCGAGGAGTTCGACACGATCGAGTACGCGCACCAGGCGTTCCAGATCGCGAACGCCAGCGGCGGCTCGCTGCGCGACGTGACGAAGGCATTGAACAAGATGCGGGAAGGCGAAGCAGAAGAGCAGCCTGAGGCACCGGGGCCGACCGTCGAGGGCCTCACGCAGGGCAAGTGCAGGGGCGCCGTGCTGAGCCAGCACGACGACTGGATGCACCGCGGAGACCACCCGATTGTCCGAGACATGAACCTGTACGTCTACAGCATCTGGGTGTACCGCGTGGAACTGCCGTTGCACGCCCTTCCGGCCGGGGAGCTGGAGCCCGAGGGCAGCGGGGGGCGCGCCCTGCACGTGGACATCGCCTTCGACTCGTCCTACTCGGCGGCGCGGAACTGGACGCAGAGGCTGGCCGCCGAGCCGCGCATCCCGAAGCCGGACGGCTTCCAGTTCGTGAGCGCGGAGTCGAACGTCGAGACGCACTACCTCATGAAGTCGGTGCTGCTCAGACCAGTGCATCTGCCGGACGCCGACGGGCCCAACGACACGAAGGAGCTGCGCTACCTCCGCGCGTACGAGCACCTGTGCGCGGCGCCAAAGGGCGAGCCGGAGTGGCCGGCGCAGCCGGCGGGGGAGGGCGTCCCGGGCCCGTTCCAGCGCGGCTGGGAGTCGTTCGCCATCGCCCAGGAGCAACTGGCGAAGACGGCCAGGGCGAAGTGCCTCAGGAATGACGTCGGGTCCTGGGCGACTCCCAGCATCTGGAACACGGGGGAGGTCGAGTCCGCGCTGCGCGAGAAGCGCAGCGACCGCGGGGAGGACGTGCAGCCTCCGTGCCAGTGCGCCCAGTGCACGGAGTGGGGCAATTGGCTGCACAGCATGCTGACAGTGCAGGAGTACCTGGCCCTGGAGACCACGAAGACCGCGGCCAACTTCGACGGCATCTCCAAGGCGAAGGCCTCGAAGCCGAAGAGGCCGCAGAAGGACGACGTGCACGTCCCCGAGGCCCCCGTGTTTCGCGAGGGCGCCGAGGACTCGGGGGCGGGCGCCGCGCAGGTGGAGGCCCAGAGCATCCGCGCACAAGAAGGCTTCGCGAAGCTGGGCGCCAACGCGGTCCTGGAGCATCACTTCGACCCCGAGACGCTCGGGCAGATCTTGCGCTTCGACACCGCCGAGCGCACGCAGGCCTTCGTCAAGGATCTCAAAAAGGCCGCCACGATGATGGAGAACGGCGCGCTGCCGGGTCCGAATGACGCCGACGCGTCGCGTCGCGCTGCCCGCGCTCTGAAGGACGACGTCCTTGCCCTTTTCAGGGCCCTGCGCGATCTCGACGCGGACGAGCTGAAGGACTTGGTAGAAACCCAACGGAAAAGGTTCGCCAGGGGAGGCACGAAGGATGCGGACGCGCCCGTGGACGACGCCCCCGCGCCAGACGACCTCCAGGCAGCGGGCGCTGGCGCGATGCTGGTTGAGGCGGCGCAGGCGCGGTGGGAGCGTTCGGAGGAGATGCAGCGGCCCAGCGACTTCGTCATGCGCCTCGTCAAAAAGTTCGAGGACGGCGTGGTCGACCCGAGAACGGGGCGGCAGGAGCCCCGCCCTCTGAAGCCCGACCAGGCCCTGCTCGCCACGGCCTTCGCGAACGCCTGCAACGTGGTGTGGGGCGAGGAGCAGAAGATCAACGTCGGCAGCATGGCCAAGCACGCGAAGCGGAAGCCGTTCCAGTTCCTGCTCCTCGGCCAGGGCGGCAGCGGGAAGACCGCCATGGTGCAGGAGATCGTGCTGCCGGCCATGGACGCACTGTTCCCTGTGGAGCCGGGCAAGGCGAAGGCCACGCAGATAGTCTGCGCGAAGTGGTCCCAGGCCGCGAACATCTCCACGGACGCTCACAAGGCCGTCAGTTGCCACTGGGCGGGTGTCATAGGAGTGCAGTCCTTCAGGAACAAGGACATACCCGCGGGGGGCAAGCTGAAAGCGCTACAGGACACGTGGGAGGCGGTCAAGTGCTTGATCCTGGAGGAGGTGAGCATGATCTCGCTTAACTTGTACAACATGCTGGCCTTCCGGTCCTACCTCGGGCGCAAGGCCGAGTGGGGCGCGGAGGAGCGGGAGTGCGACCAGGTCGGCGGAGCCTTCGGCCGGATGCCTATCGTGATCCACCTGGGAGACTTCTTGCAGCTGAAGCCGACGGGAGGCAAGGTGTCGCTCATCTCCAGCTTCGAGGAACTCGCGGCGGCGGGCATCAACCTCGCTCCAGAGTACCAGGCCGTGATGAAACTCTTCTGCAACACACCGCTGTGCTTCGAGCCCCAGGCGTCCAACCGCTTCAAAGACGCGAAGCTCAGGGATCTCATGGCGTTCTTGCGCAAACCGGGGAAGCAGGTCCCTCCGGCCATCCGGGCCACGTGGAACGCCATGCAGCTGCAACCCGATGACCGCTGGCTCCGGGAGGAAAGGTTCCAGAACGGCCACATGATTGGGTCGTATTGGGACACCGTGGCGCGATGGATGAACATGCGTGCCCAGCGGGACGCGGACGTCCTGAAGAAGCCCCTCTTCCTCGTGCAGGCCGCCGACAGGTCTGCCCCGACGATGAGCAAGAAGGACGCCGCCAAGATGATGAACTGTGCCAACCCGAAGAACACCGGTGGCATGCACGGACTGCTCCCGGTGCACGTGGGCATGCGGATCCGGCTCCTGGAGGCGCTCGATCTCAAGAACGGCCTCGTCAAGGACGCCGAGGGGCAGATCGTGCACATCGTCGTGAACCCTCGGGATCGGGACGACGTCGAGAGGGCCGAGAGGGACGGAGAGAAGAGGATATATCTGAAGCGCTTGCCCCAGGGGTTCTGGGTGCGCATGGAGAAATACGCGGGCGCGCCCTTCGTGGGCGACCTGAAGCGCCACGACGACAGCCTCGCGGGGGACCTCACGGGCCCGCTGGTGTTCATCGAGCCCCGTACGTCGGAGCCGTTCACCTTCCGCACCTCCAAGGTCACCCGGACGGGCTTCCCGTTTTCACACGGCAGGGTCATCACCACGGTGGCGTGCCAGGGGCGCACTATGCGGGAAGGCGACGGGGCGGGGGAACGGCGCCACCGGGCAGTCTACGGCCGAACCCTTCAGACGCGAGCGGTCCGCAGCCGGACCTTCTCTCGGTCCCGTGGACTCTCGCCCTGGGCCGTCGGCTGTCTGGCGCACTGCTCCCCCGGCCGACGCCGCCCAGGCGTGATCCTGGACTGCGGCCGCCACGAGGTCGGGAACGGCAAGAAGGAGGACGACGACTGGTGGCTGGAGCTCTACGCGCTGCTCTCGCGCGCCACGCGCCACGAGGATCTCCTGCTCATGCGGGCGCCGCTCATCGAGTTCTTCCTGGCAGGGCCGCCGGCGGGCTTGCGGAAGCAGCTGGAGCAGTTTGCTGCGCGCACGAAGCGGTGCAGGAGGGAGGCGACGGCCCTCGCCAGGGAGCTCGGCTTCAGCGAGTTCATCCGCGAGGCCTGACCTGGGAAGCGGCCCCGCACGAGCCAGCGGCGCGCGCTGGTTGTCGCTGACGCTTGGATGACCCCAGCTCGTCGTCGGGATTTCTCGCCAGAGGATGACCGGCGCCTGTCGGGGGATTTCACCCAGATCGCGCCGTTTTCGCATAGCCTCGCCGCGCAGCACGGGGGAGCTATCCGTTTACATTGAGTCGCAGTGGACGACCCCCGCGCGTCGATGGGATTCCCTCGGGATGACCAGACCGCGTCGGTGGGGACTCCCCAGCCACTTTCGAGCGGCGCCGCCTGCGCAGTGCACTCTGCGTGGCTCGCTATCGGCCCGGAAGCAAAAATGTCACCCCATCGTCTCTCGCTCCTCTTGCTTCCTTTTGCTTCTTGACCGCGGGCCCCCCGGTCTCGTCTCTGCCGTTGCTGGCCTGCCCCTGACATTTGCGCGGCTTCTCCGTGACATCTTCCTGCGTGCCCAGTAACAGGTCTGACGATGCGATGATGATGCTGATGTGTTGGATCGCCCAGTGAGCTCTCCTCCTTCTCCAGCCACCTCCTGCCCGCGCTGTCTTGCGCCTCGTCCGTGCTGTGGCGCAGTGCCCGTGACAGCAGGGGCCATGCCTCGCGCCACTTGTAGTTTGCGTGCCCGCCTCCTTCGTCTCATTTCCCTCGCGGTATTCGCAGCTGCATATGTTTGGGTCCTTCGCCAGGCTAATTTTCCCCCAGGGCCTTGTTGTTGAAGACATCCTCTTGAGGACACCTAGGGAGCTTCTGAAGTCGGTGGCGTCTGTGGAAGACGTCGGGGCCCATGGAGAGGCTCTGGTCGCGGTGGCCTCCGAGATACTTGTACTTAGCGGCGAGTGCCAAGTTGGCCCCGTGCTTGCCCATCGGGGGCCCTTTCTGGCGGAACCCCGCGAAGTCCTGGCGAGCCTTGCGGGGCCCTCTGCCGACGATGTTCGGCCTTAACTCTGACTCGCCCACCTTGAAGTTGACCGAGAAGCCCCTGGCCGCGGCCTCCTCGTGGACCGCGCCGGCCACGTCGATGGCAGCATGCTTGCAGTCAGTGGCCCACTGGAGCTGCACAAGAGTGACCGCGTCGTCGACGCATGACGGGGCCCCAGACCTCGGGAACGTCAGCCACGTCGTCCTTCTGAAGAACGGTTGGGGCCTTCTCGGGGCCCTCAGAGGCTCTCTGCCGGTATCCCATCATGCTGTGTCTATCGTTAGCTCGTCTGCAAGGAAGAGAAAGCCACGTCAAACAAATAATCGGCCGGGGGCGTTGTAGGCCGTGCACCTCCATGAGGCGGTGGCACCTCCAATGAGACGTCTCAACGATCTTGTCACATATGGAAATGAGCACAACTGGCGTCTTTGCGTCATCCAGCACATCTGCGATCTCCGTGTCTGATTGCGCATCGCGCGAAAGAAACGGCTTCACCGCGGAGTAGAAAGCCGCGCGTAGGACGGTCAAAATGAGAAACATTGCGCGATCACGAGCTTTGACAAACTGCGCGGCAGGGGTCACGATGAGGGTCACCAAATCTGCACCGCGCCTGGCGAACCCTCCCATTTGAAAATCGCGCGCGCGTCAAATGTTTGGTGCTTTCGACCAGCTGCGACCGAAGAAACTTGTGATGAATCTTTACAACGTGCACTCTCGACATAATTCCGCGGCAATTGGTTTTCGGCGCACTTTATCCATGTTAAATAGATCCACCTGCCAGCCGCCCTTGAAGCCCAGCGGCCACCGAGAGCTGACGTTTCTCTTCGTGTATAGCGGCAGGGGCAGCTCAGCTGCCACATCTGATGCAGTGTTCAGTGTGTCCATGGTTGCATGGTCTGGACCCGTGGCCCTTCCAGTGGCAGCTCCTCGGATCATGCACAACAGTTCTCTCTTGTCCATGACGAGGTCATTCTTGCGTTGCTGCACTAGCTGCACTTGCTGCATGAGCTGTCCCAGTCAGTGACGTCGCCCTTCCAAGGGGAGCAAAGCACGTGCCAGAACGACAGGGGCCATTAGAAGCTTCTCCTCGAAGATCTGGACCTCGCTGGGCTCTTCGAGGGTGACTCTATCGCATCTTAGCTTGGGGGCCTGTCTCTTGGAC